GCTTCACCTCATCTCGTGTCTGTACTGCTTACCCCTGAGGGAGACCCGGATGCACTTCACATCCCGACTCCGCGCTCTTACGCGGAGGCCGTAGAGGGTCCCTACTCCTCTCAGTGGCAGGCAGCTATGGATGCAGAGATGGCTTCCTGGAAGTCCACAGGCACCTACGTTGACGCGGTTCCCCCGCCTGGGGCGAACATCGTCAGTGGCATGTGGATCTTCAGGGTGAAGCTGCCACCCGGTTCTCCACCTGTCTTCAAGGCGCGGTACGTGGCCCGTGGCTTCAGTCAGCGGCACGGAGTTGACAACTTTCAGACCTTCTCTCCCACCCCAAAGATGACCACTCTTCGGGTGCTGCTGCACATAGCCGCTCAGCGCGACTACGAGCTTCACTCTCTTGACTTCAGCACTGCTTTCTTGCAGGGTAGCATGCACGAGGAGATCTGGCTGCGCCGCCCACCTGGCTTCACTGGGACTTTTCCTCTTGGCACCCAATGGAGCCTCCGACGACCAGTCTACGGTCTCCGCCAGGCACCGCGTGAGTGGCACGACACACTGAGGACTACGCTTGCGGCTCTTGGGTTTGCTCCCTCTACTGCCGACCCGTCGCTGTTTCTGCGCACCGACACATCTTTGCCGCCGTTCTACATCCTCGTGTACATCTACGACTTGGTCTTTGCCACTGCTGACACTGCTGGACTCGCCCACGTGAAGTCCGAGCTGCAGAAGAGACACACGTGCACAGACCTGGGTGAACTGCGCAGCTACCTTGGCTTGCAGATCACCCGGGACAGAGCACGCCGCACCATTACCCTGACTCAGTCATACATGGTGCAGCAGATCCTTCAGCGCTTCGGCTTCACGTACTCCTCGCCTCAGGCCACTCACTCTCAGCTCTGCCTTCAGATGAGTCAGTAGAGTCGAGTGGCCCGTACCCAGAGCTTGTTGGCTGCCTCATGTACCTGATGACCTGCACACGACCTGACCTTGCATACCCTCTTAGCATTCTTGCACGCTTTGTTCCTCGTGGGAGACACAGACCGGAGCACATGGCTGCAGCGAAGAGGGTGTTGCGCTACTTGTGCAGTACGTCGGGCATGGGGCTAGTGCTTGGAGGGCAGAGTCCAGTGGTCCTCACTGGGCACGCAGACGCTTCTTGGGCTGACGACCAGGCTACACAGCGGACGTCACAGGGTTACACCTTCAGCCTTGGTTCCGGCTCTATTTCTTGGCGAGCTACTCGCTCGTCTTCCGTTCTCGGCTCCAGTTGTGAGGCTGAGATCTACGCCGGAGTCATGGCTGCTCAGGAGCTTCGCTGGCTCACCTACCTGGTGACTGACCTCGGAGAGCCGCCTCGTTCTCCTTCAGAGCTGTTCGTGGACAACAAGGCCATGCTGGCCTTGTGTTGGGAGCAGCGCCTGGAGCACAGAACGAAGCACATTGCTCTCCGCTACTTTCTTGCTCGTGAGCTGCAGCAGCGTGGTCAGTTGCGACTTGCGTACGTGGCCTCTGAGGCCAACACTGCTGATATCTTCACTAAGGCACTTGCCCCTTGTGATCATCAGCGCTTCTGTACTCAGCTTGGTCTTGTGCCTGCCTTGCCTCACTTGCTCACTTCTTGACCTTGCTTGTACTGTCACATATATATACTCCTGCTCTTGTTTGTTTAGCTTTTTATATATATATGTGCTCCTGCATGTGAACTGGCCTTCTGGCCTTAAACTAGTGCTCGAAATGTGTGGTGACTTCGTGATCCACCCTGAGCTTTGCTTTGCTTTGCTTGATTGGTCTTGTGACCCCTTGTTCTCCCCCACTTTGCCTATGCGGGTGTGTCAAATTATAATGTTGTGTAGGCTGTAGTGGGGTAGCCTATATGGGGTACACATTTCTAGGGTTGCATATTTGTACCACTTTCATTCCTTAGTGCATCATTCTCGTTTCAGTTTTCACACACCTACCTTGGCGTGCAAATCACCTAGGACAGAGCACGCCGCACCATCACACTCACTCAGTCACACATGGTGCAGGAGGTCCTTCAGCGCTTCGGCTTCACTTGGTCCTTGCCACAGTCCACTTCCCGGTCTACAGGTCACTCGCTCTCAGCTCCACCTTCGGATGAGTTCGTAGAGCCGAGTGGCCCGTACCCAGAGCTGGTGGGCTGCCTCATGTACCTGATGACCTGCACTCGTCCTGACCTTGCGTACCCTCTTCGCCTTCAAGCACGCTACGTGGCTCCTGGTAGGCACCAAAAGGTGCACTTCAATGCTGCGAAGAGGGTACTGCGCTACTTGTGCAGTACATCGGGCATTGAGCTCGTGCTTTGAGGGCGGAGTCTTGTTGTCCTCACTGGGCACTCAGACGCTTCTTGGGTTAACGACCTGGCTACGCAGCGGTCGTCACAGGGTTACACGTTCAGCCTTGGCTGTGGCTCTGTTTCTTGGCGGTCTACACGCTCGTCTTCTGTTCTTAGCTCCACTTGTGAGGCTGAGATCTACGCCACAGCCATGGCTGCACAGGAGTTATGCTAGCTCACCTACCTGCTAACCGACTTGGGAGAAAGGCCTTGTTCTCCTCCAGTTCTGTACGTCGAGAACAAGGCTGCCATTGCCTTGTGTCAGGACCACAGACTGGAGCACAAAACGAAGCACATCGCTCTGCGTTACTTCCTTGCTCGAGAGTTGCAGCAGCGTGGTCAGCTTCGTGTTGCTCACGTGCCCACCTGGGCTAAAACGGCTGATGTGTTCACCTAGGCCCTTCCGGTTGGTGATCATCAGCGCTTCTGCACTGCTCTTGGGCCTGGTGCCTATGTTTCCTCACTTGTTGTAGAATTTGGTTGTACTGTGATCTATATATACATATATATACCTGCATGTTTACTCTTGCTAGGTAGTGATCACTGCACTGTTGTTGTTGCATTTATTCCTCTGCCTGTAAACTGGCCTTGTGGCCCTCTTGCTTGTGCTCGAAGTGTGTGGTGACGTTGTGATCCACCCTAAGCTTGCTTTTCTTTTCTTGACTGATGTTGTGACCCGTTGTTCTCCCCAATTTGCCTATAGGGGTGTGTCAAACCATATCTGTGCTAGTTGTGTGTAGGCTATAGTGGGGTAGCCCATATGGGGTACAACCCAATATTAGGGTTAGTACTTGTACCCACAGTTCATTCAATGCAATCATTCCTGCTTGCTATCTTGACACACCTGCCTCTGCAGCGCTGGCAGACCGTTGCGGTGCAGCACTGGCAGGCTACTCTACTGTAGCGTTGGCAAGCCACTCTTTTGCTGCACAAGCCGAGCTCGCCCTGTATAGGGCTTACCAGTTGTTACAATGTTATTTTAGATATGGGACTTGCATGCCCCATTGTAATTTAATGTTTTTACTCAATTTCTAGTGAGAATGCTACTAGAAATTTACAATCACCCGCAGAATCCCTTGCCCTCCTCCGTGTCAGAACATTATAGCTTATACATTTGTGTAGGCTGTAGTGGGGTAGCCCATATGGGGTACAACCCAATTAGGGTTAGTACCTGTACCCAACTCTTTCATCGTTGAGTCATCCATTCTCACTTCTCGTCATGGTATCGAGCAGGTTCCCGAGTGGGAATACTGCCTAGGGCCCACCATGAAAATTTTTTTTCCTTCCCTGCCCGAAGCGCGCTTCGCACCTACCATGAGTAGCGCCCCGAGTCGCCTTAGTGGCCCCTTTGGCCGCCCTTACTGCTCCTCGAGCCGCCCACCGTCGGCCGCGCTACGGCCCCGTTGGCCCCGCTTTGGCCCCGCTTAGGCCCCGTCGGCCCCGCTTAGGCCTCGCTACGGCCTAGTTGCGGCCCCGCTTAGGCCCCGTCGGCCTCCACTTCGGACCCGTCGGCCCCGCTTAGCCCACCGTCGGCCCCGCTTAGGCGCTGTCGGCCCCGCTACAGCCCCGCTTAGGCCCCGCTACGGCCCCGATTGGCCCCGCTTAGGCCCCGTCGGCCCTGTTGCGGCCCCGCTTAGGCCCCGTCGGCCCCACTTCGGCCCTGTTGCGGCCCTGCTACAGCCCCGCTACGGCCCCGTCGGCCCCGCTTAGCCCACCGTCGGCCCCGCTTAGGCCCCGTCGGCCCCACTTCGGCCCCGTTGCGGCCCCGCTACAGCCCCGCTACGGCCCCGTCGGCCCCGCTTAGCCCACCGTCGGCCCCACTTAGGCCCCGTCGGCCGCGCTACAGCCCCACTTAGGCCCCGCTAGGGCCCCGTCGGCCCCGTTGCGGCCCCGCTTAGGCCCCGTCGGCCCCCACTTCGGCCCCGTTGCGGCCCCGCTACAGCCCCGCTACGGCCCTGTCGGCCCCGCTACGGCCCCAGCTACGGCCCCGTCGGCCCCACTTCGGCCCCACTACGGCCCCTTCGGCCCCGTTGGCCCCGCTACGGCCCCACTTCGGCCCCGTCGGCCCCTCTTAGGCCCCGTTCCGGCCCCGCTACAGCCCAGCTACCGCCCCGTCGGCCCCATTGCGGCCCCGCTACAGCCCCGCTACGGCCCCGTTGGCCCCGCTACGGCCCCGCTAAGGCCCCGTCGGCCCCTCTTCGGCCCCACTGCGGCCCCATTAAAGCCCCTGCTACGGCCCCGTCCCGTCGCCACCGCGACCGATTCGCCCGACAACCGAGCCGCCAGGCAGCCGAGCCGCCCAGCAGCCGAGCCGCCCGACAACCGAGCCGCCTGGTGGCCGAGCCGCCCGACACCCGAGCCGCCCGACACCCGAGCCGCCCGACACCCGAGCCGCCCAGCACCGTGCAGCCGAGCCGCCCAGCAGCCGAGCCGCCCAGCACCGTGCAGCCGAGCCGCCCGACAGCCGAGCCGCCCAGCACCGTGCAGCCGAGCCGCCCAGCAGCCGAGCCGCCCAGCACCGTGCAGCCGAGCCGCCCTGCAACCAAGCCGCCGAGCAGCCTTGATCACCCCACCTGCCTGGTAAGAGCCCAGTCTCTGCCACTGCACTACCCTGCCTCACTGCACTCCATGCCTGCCTACTGCTATTATGGCTTCCCCTAGCGTTCTCACCTTTGACGCTGAGGGTCGGGCTGTGGACTTTGAGGTCTGGGTAGATGATCTGCAGCTTTTTCTGCAGTGCGATAGGGCAGACGGCCTCTCCCTGTTTCACCTCACTTTTGGTGCCTTCCCTGCCCCTGCTGCTGATGCTGATGCCACTGTTTGCTCTCAGTGGGCCACACGTGATGCTGCTGCTCGCCTTGCTGTTCGCCGCCACTTACCGACCACTGAGCGTGCGCAATTTAGCCAGTACAAGAGTGCTCAGACCTTGTACGACGCTGTAGTTGCACGCTACTCTTCCCCTGCCACTGCTGCAGTGAGCCGCCTCATGCTACCGTTCCTCTTCCCTGACCTTGCTGCCTTTCCCACTGTCGCTGGCCTCATTACGCACCTCCGCACTCTTGACACTCGCTACCGCGCTGCGCTTCCTGCTGAGTTCTGCGCCAAGAACCCCCCCCCCCCCCCCATGTACATCACCCTCTACTACATAGTCACCCGGCTCCCTGACTCTCTTCGCGTAGTCAGGGACCACTTCCTCTCTGTTTGCCACACCACTCTCACTGTTGACCTTCTCGAGAAGGCCCTCCTAGCGATAGAGAAGAGCATAGTCGCTGTAGGAGACTCTCGTGGTGACCCTCGCACCCCCGTTTTTTAGGGGTGTTCTCCCTCCCCCCTCTTGCCCTTTGTCGCCTCTGCTGCTGCGGCCGACCTCGTTGGTTTCGAGTCGGTCGGCGCTGCGTCTGCCCTGAGTGGGAGACGCCGCACCGGCAAGGGCAAGGGGGGCAAGGGCTCTGGAGGGGGTGGAGGGGGCGGTGGAGGTGGTGGTGGAGGCGTTGGAGGGAGTGGGGGTGGTGGTGGGAGTGGTGCCGGGGGTGGTGGCGGCGGCGGCGGCAGTGGAGGCGGCGGAGGCGCTGGAGGTGGCGCAGGGAGCAGAGGCGGCGGAGGTAGTGGAGGAGGCGGAGGTGGAGGAGGCGGCGGAGGCGGCGGCGGCGGTGGTGGTGCGAGTCGCGACTCTGCACCGAGGAGTGGCTCCGGTGGTGGTCACCGCCAGCAGCAGCAGCGGAGTGGTGTGACCATGTCCCCTCAGCAGCTTCGTGAGTGGTACACTGCACGCCAGCGAGGTGGGGGTACTGGTCCCTGCTCCTACGTTCTCCGTACCGGCGACCGCACTGGTGAGCAGTGCGGAGGTCCGCACTCCACCCAGCGCTGCTTTGGTCGCCTGACGGACGCATGGCGTCGCCAGTTCCCTGAGGCATCAGAGAACCCTCGCTGGGGAGATCTGGCCAAGGCCGGGGTTGCTATATTTGATCTTGACTTTGATGCTATTCTTGCTACCATGTATGCTGTTGCTGATAGTGTTGAGGGTGCCTGTTACCTGTGTGTACCGCATGACCCGAGCATTGAGGCTGCTGCACTAGGTGCTAGTGAGACTGCTGCTCTTGGTGCTAGAGCGTCTGCAGCCCCAGGTGCTGGTGAGTCTGCTCTCTCAGGTACTGCTTCGGCTCAGGCCCTCCACACCTTCACCCTGGACTCGGGTGCATCCCGCTCCTTCTTTCGAGACCGCACCACTCTTACGCTGCTTAGTCGGCCGGTTGCAGTCTCCCTAGCAGACCCCTCTGGGGGTCCTGTCCTTGCTAGCTTCTCCACTGTCCTTCCGTGCCCTGCAGCCCCCTCTGGCACCCTGTCTGGTCTGTACCTCCCCTCGTTCTCTACGAACTTGGTGAGTGGAGCGGACCTATAGGATAGGGGGGTTGACCAGTTCACTCCTGCGAGTCAGCGAGTGACCCACTGCACGTATGCTCGGACAGGTCGACACCTGGCCACGTTCACCCGTCGGCCAGGGTCGAGCCTGTACACCCTTACTACTGCGTCTCCTCCTGCTGCTGAGTCTGCCCAGGTAGCTGCGTCGAGTCAGGTGTTTGTTGCGACGTCCAGGTCTGGTCCTGAGTCTGCCCTCTGCTCGTGTCGTCTGCTGTCCAACCAGACTCTCCTTTGGCACCACCGCCTTGGTCACCCCTCCTTGCCTCGTCTCCGAGGCATGGCCTCCCGTGTCCTTGTCTCTGGTCTTCCTCGGTCTCTTCCTCCCCTTCCTCCAGGGCCTGGCCCTACCTGCGTCCCCTGCGTCGAGGGGCGACAGCGCGCCGCCCCTCAGTCCTCCGAGTTTCCTCCGACAGAGGCTCCGCTGCAGACTCTCCACATCGACGTGTGGGGCCCAGCCCCCGTCAGTGGGCAGGGACGAGAGCGGTACTTTCTTCTGGTCGTTGACGACTACTCGCGTTACACCACAGTCTTCCCCTTGCGCAGCAAGGGTGACGTCACTGAGGTGTTGATCGACTGGATCCGCGCAGCTCGTCTCCAGCTCAGAGAGAGTTTCGGCTCGGACTTTCCTGTTCTCCGTCAGCACTCAGACAGAGGCGGGGAGTTTTCCTCTGCTCGTCTTGGAGCCTTGTGTCATGCACAGGGCATCCGCCAAACCTTCACGATTCCGGCCTCTCCACAGCTAAATGGGATTGCTGAGCGCCGCATTGGCATGGTCATGGACGTCGCTCGTACGTCCATGATGCATGCGGTTGCCCCCCATTTTCTATGGCCGTTTGCGGTTCAGTACGTCGCGCATCAGCTTAACCTGCAGCCTCGGGTCTCCTTGCCATAGACCTCCCCCGCCTTGCGGTGGACTGGGAAGGTTGGCGATGCGTCTGCGTTATGGGTCTGGGGATCTCGGGCGTTTGTCCGTGACTCCTCTGCGGATAAGCTGTCCCCCCGTGCTGTTCCCTGCGTCTTCCTTGGCTTCCCCCCCGACGCGCCTAGCTGGCGGTTTCAGCACCCCACCTCACGCTGTGTTCTATCCTCCTAGGACGTCACCTTTGACGAGTCGGTGCCTTACTACCATCTCTTCCCCTACCGCACTGCGCCCCTCCCCCCGCCGCCGCTCTTCCTTGCGCCAGGTGCTACCCAGGTAGACCCCCTCCCTCCTCAGGGTCCTGCCCCTTCAGGTGTGTCCCAGGTAGATGCAATCGAGCCTGTCGAGGTAGCTGTTGACTCTGGTGCTGCTAGAGGTGCTGAGCCTGCAGGTGCTGGGTCTGCGGGTGCTGGGTCTGGAGGTGCTGAGACTAGGGGTGCTCAGACTGGGGGTGCTGAGACTGGGGGTGTTGAGACTGGGGGTGCTGAGACTGGGGGTGCTGAGACTGGGGGTGCTGAGCCTGGGGGTGCTGAGCCTGGGGGTGCTGGGTCTGCTCGTGTGGCCGCCGGCGGTGCTTCGTCGAGGCGGGAGCCGCTCTCTCCATAGGAGCTGCGCGAGTGGTTCGCCCGCCGCTGGAGTTGTGCTGCTGAGTCTGGGGGTGTTGCTGGAGCTACTGGAGTTGGTCCTGCTGAAGGTGCTGTTCGTGCTGGTGCTGCTGGAGTTGGGGCGGCTGGGGGTGTTGGCGCTGGTGTTTCTACTGGTGCTGGTGCATCTGGGGGTGCTGCTGAGGCAGCTGGTGCTGACGTTTCTACTGGAGTTGGAGCTGCTGGGGGTGTTGGCGCTGGCGGTGCTGCTGGCGCTGGTGCTTCTGAGGGTCGTGGAGTTGGCGCTGTTGGAGCTGGAGGTTCTGCTTGCGCTGGTGCTACCACTGGGGGTCATGGTGCCGTCCTTGCTGGTTCTGGAGGCGCTGCGCAGCCGAGGCCGTACTTCGTTCCACTCCTGGAGCAGGTTCTTTGTCTCCCTCCCTCTAGTGGTCCTGCTCCTCCCTTAGAGTGTCCGCAGCCTGTCCGGTTGCAATCCCAGTTACAGCCCGCCTCCCCGCTACGTGCTCCTTCTCCCTACACTGGTCCTAGTGGAGGTCTTGCTGAGCGTCGTGAGCCTGCGTCTCGTCCTGCGTCGCCTGTTCGTGCTGCTCGCACTAGTGGTCGTACTGTGCGTCCGCGTCCTCCTGCAGTCCCCGGCACACACCTGATGGCACTGCGTCCGTCCACTGCTCCTCTGCGTGTCCCTTTGCCGTCTCCTCAAAAGTCCTCTCTTCCTTCGCTTGCTGAACCGGAGTCCGACTCCCTTCGTGCTGCTAGTCCTTCGGTCACGCGCCTTCTTGCTACTGTTGTCACTGACCCTACCTTTGAGTCCACTGCTGCGTCTTCTCTAGTTGCTGAGCTTGTCGACTTCGCTGCTCGCTGCCGTCTAGATTACGCTGCCACTCTTGTTGCTGCGTCTGAATCTGTCTGTCCTCCGTCCGTCAGGGGTGAGTGTGCTCTTAGCACGGACGTCCTTGAGGACAGGCAGGAGGAGTTCCGGTGCTTTGCGGCTGCTTTGCCCCATCTCGTGTCCTCGCTGATTGCCCCTGAGGGAGACTCGGACGCACCAGACATCCCGACTCCTCGATCGTACGCTGAGGCGATCGAGGGTCCCTACTCCTCTCAGTGGCAGTCGGACATGGACGCAGAGATGGCTTTCTGGAAGTCCACAGGCACCTACATCGACGAGGTTCCCCCACCAGGGGCGAACATCCTCAGTGGCATGTGGATCTTCAGGGTGAAGCGACCGCCTGGCTCTCCGCCTGTCTTCAAGGCGCGTTACGTGGCTAGAGGCTTTAGTCAGCGGCACGGAGTTGACTACTTTCAGACCTTCTCTCCCACCCGGAAGATGACCACTCTTCCGGTGCTGCTGCACATAGCCGCTCAGCGCGACTACGAGCTTCACTCTCTTGACTTAAGCACAGCTTTCCTGTAGGGCAGCCTGCACGAGGAGATCTGGCTGCGCCGCCCTCTGGCTTCACTGGGTCGTTTCCTTCTGGTACCTAGTGGAGCCTCCGGCGGCAAGTCTACGGTCTCCGCCAGGCGCCCCGTGAGTGGCACGACACAGTGAGGACTACACTTGCGGCTCTTGTGTGTGCTCCTTCTACAGCCGACCCGTCGCTGTTTCTACGCACCGACACCTCCTTGCCGCCGTTCTACATCCTCGTGTACATCGACGACTTGGTCTTCGCCACTGCTGACACTGCTGGACTCGCCCACGTGAAGTCCGAGCTGCAGAAGAGACACACGTGCACAGACCTGGGTGAACTGCGCAGCTACCTTGGCTTGCAGATCACCCGAGACAGGGCACAGCGCACCATTACCCTGACGCAGTCACACATGGTGCAGCAGGTCCTACATCGTTTCGGCTTCACGTACTCCTCGCCTCAGGCCACTCCTCTGTCTACTCGCCACTCGCTCTCAGCTCTGCCTTCGGATGAGTCCGTAGAGTCGAGTGGCTCGTACCCAGAGCTTGTTGGCTGCCTCATGTACCTGATGACCTGCACACGACCTGACCTTGCATACCCTCTTAGCATCTTGGCACGCTATGTTTCTCCTGGGAGACACAGATTAGAGCACATGGCTGCAGCGAAGAGGGTGTTGCGCTACGTGTGCAGTACGTCGGGCATGGGGCTAGTGCTTGGAGGGTGACGTCGAGTAGTCCTCACAGGTCACGCTGACGCTTCTTGGGCTGACGACCAGGCTCTGCAGCTGTCGTCACAGTGTTACACCTTCAGCCTTGGCTCCGGTTCTGTTTCGTGGCGGTCTACCCGCTCGTCCTCTGTTCTCGGCTCCAGCTGTGAGGCTGAGATCTACGTAGGGGCCATGGCTGCACAGGAGCTACGCTGGCTCACCTACCTTCTGACTGACCTAGGAGAGCAGCCTCGTTCTCCTCCAGTTCTGTACGTAGACAACAAGGCCATGCTGGCCTTGTGTCAGGAGCACAGACTGGAGCACAGAACGAAGCACATTGCTCTCCGCTACTTCCTGTCTCGTGAGTTGCAGCAGTGGGGTCAGCTTCGCCTCACCTACGTGGCCTCTAAGGCCAACACTGCTGATATCTTCACCAAGGCCCTTCCGCCTTGTGATCATCAGCACTTCTGTACTGTGCTAGGTCTTGTGCCTACCTGGCCTCACGTGCTTACTTCTTCATCTTGTTTGCACTGTCTTGTTCTATACCTACCCTTGCTTGTTTTACCTTTATATATACGTTCTTGCATGTGAATTGGCCTTGTGGCCCTACTCATGTGCTCGGACTGTGTGGTGACTTTGTGATCCACCCTGAGCTTGCTTTGCTTTGCTTGAGTGGTCTTGTGACCACTTGTTCTCCCCCACTTTGCCTATGGGGGTGTGTCAGAACATTATAGCTTATACATTTGTGTAGGCTGTAGTGGGGTAGCCGATATGGGGTACAACCCAATTAGGGTTAGTACTTGTACCCAACTCTTTCATAGTTGAGTCATCCATTCTCACTTCTCGTCACTCCGTAGTTCACTCCCTTTGAGTAGTGACTCTCCGGAGACGCAACTTATCATTTACGCTTCTAGGCGCTCTACATTAGTTGCTATTGGCTTGTGCGACTAATAGGCCACGTACGGTTGTTGAGATGGCTGTTAAAAAATCAGAAGCTTCGTGTCGATATCACATGGTACCTTTAGATCTCTGTGTGTGTGTGTGTGTGTGTGTGTGTGTGTGTGTCTATATGTTTTTTTTTTTTTTTTTTTTTAGCTCTTAATCACCAGCCTTTCAAAATTGTTATGGTTGACTCTATTGACGGCCGAATCTCCTCAAAGTCCCGCGACACCAGGGACTATATGTTAATATCAGGCGGTCGCCATATTCACGCGACATATTTAGCGAGGTGAAACGGAAGGCCTTCAGTGATTTTTCACTCGTATTATTCCCCCCATTTTTTTTTGTAGTGTGTGTAGTTACGAAGCTAGATGAAGTAACTTCAGCTTTGCAAATCCGTTTTGTGAAATTATACAGGGCTATTCGGAAAAATTAGCTCATTATTGTATATGGCTGGTGTAAATGCTTGCCTTGGCGAACTGTAAAGTATAGTATTGTTGTGTACGTGTTATGATTCTTACTAAGGTATATACGTACTAAATTTACAAGGATATTATCAATTTTCCGGTTATGAGTCATGCTATACTCGATCGGTGATCCACCATCCTACATCATGTTTGGGTAAATACCCGGTAATCAGAAGGCACTCACACATGCGCACTGGCAGTCCTGGAATCGAGGAGTCAATGATAGCCGATCGATAAATCGGAAAGAAGGTCTGTTGTGTGTGGGTTCTTGCGGCCGAGTTGCGGATGAGTTGCGGGTGAGTTGTGTGTTACCCCTGTATGCGCACCTGTGGTGACTTTGTTGATACCACCTGAGATGACCCCTCACCCGCGAGGCAACCTCATCGAATGCATCTAGGTGGCCTCCAGGGGGTAACCTAGAGGTTACCCCGAGGTGAGTTAATGGTGACGTTTTTGGGGGTCGAGGTGGTTTCAACGCATGTCCAGACTTGACTTGTTACTGGAGGCAGAGGCTGCCGCGGGAAATCCGTCAAAAGCTTGCATGCTGGAAACCTTGTAGGTTCCTACGCATTTTCCCCACGACTCCCATAATCATGATTGCACGCGCTCAGGCTCAGCGCGCCCATCGTCTGGATCTGCTGCACTGTTTCGAGGTTCGTAGGGAACAAAGTCGCACATCACGGAAAATGAGTGGCGCGTGCAAGGACGGCCCACCCTTTCTCCCCCCTCCAAGACTTTCTTTCCCACGCGTTTTGTTTTCCGTCATAGTGCTACTACTGCTAGAATTTACGTTCCAGCAATATTTGTTTTTTTCGTGCGTAACATATCCCTTAGAGACTGCAGAGGCACGTCGACGCCGCAAATGCCGCCGCCAAAGCCAACTCTGATGCAGCCACGGGCATGGCTTGTGCTCGCCGCCATGCTTTGGGTTGCCGCGTTCGTCTCCCCACCGTGCGATGCACAGCCGATCAAAGCTTCTCAAGGTAACACCTCCTTGCGCCCCTACGAAGTTCGTTGGGGGGGACTTAGGTACAGTGTATGTTACCCCTGTATATGCAACTGTGATGACCTTGTTGGTAACACCTGAGGTGACCTCATACCTGCGGAAGTAACTCATCGATACCTCTAGGTAAGCCTCCAGGGGGTAACCTAGAGGTTACCCGAGGTGAGTTTGCAGGATGGAAGCATGGAAGGTTTCCACGGCGCTTCTTCCCCAGGACCCAAGGAATCATGATTGCATGTCCTCAGGCAGCGCCCCCATCGTCTGGATATGCAGTGTTTCCAACTTTTTTTTCTTCATAAGATTTAGCCAGTAACGTTGCTCTTCCCTTTTCTTATCGCATGTGGGAAAACAGAACATAGGTAACTTGATTGTTCGCGTATGAAACGATCGAACGTCACAATTGTGTTGGCACTGCGCATGTCCAGCATGCAGTGGGTATAAGCCACGTGGAAAGTCTAGAGAGAGTTCATGCGAAGTGTGTTCAGTGTTGATACTGGGTATGTCCCACTATGTCACGAACATATTGGTTGGTATATGCAGGCTGTAATGTACCTATACATGGCAGTGCACATGTGGTTTGAACACACCCTCTCCAGCATAAAACAAGGCGCATTCGTTCCCTCAAACCAACCCCTCACGAATGCAGTATTTGGGATGTCTCACGGTGCTCTCGATATTTCTTCTACTAAGTAGTACTACCTATAGTAATAGCAGTGTTAGGGGCAAAGTTCTCTCCCTGGTAACCGATGCTAGCACCTCCTTCACTCTTGCGCAAATTTCATCGTTGGTTTCCTTCGCGGTTTCCAACAATATGCCGGCACCAGGCTGCTAGTACAGGCGTAGGCGATAAGAACCAATGCATCACAAGTTTCTCCCCTCCCCGTACTTGCACGTATCTCAGTTCATAGGAGCCAGCACTGAGTATGCAACTGGTAGCAGCAATACGCATGTGGTTTGCACTGCTGCAGTGCATAATTTCTGGCCTCACTTGCTCTACCAGCCACACAATTGCTAGATGTGGCTCCATCATCATTGGAGAATTCCTTGGTTATCTATTTAACAAGTGCAAGTAGTATTCATTTGTTCATCTCAGCTGCAAAGAAATGCACCTCTGAGGTGCCTATACCTGCTCATTACCATGTGCCTCTCAAGCTGTCCATGTATTGATATATGCCTTCAAGTACAAGCATGCATTGGTGATCCTGGTCCAAGCTCCTCTCTCTCTTGCTTGTCCCCAACTGTCAGCGGCATTTCTCCGAGACTGCCAAAAGGCATGGGGTATGACGTTCCCAGGCTGGGCCGTTGGAGGTGACTGTAGCAGTGCTGTAGGACTCACCTGTGACGAATCAGGCATGATTACCAACATGTGAGTTTGCTTTTCTTTCTAGGATACATTGGACCTCATAACATGCCATTGATGTCCAGCAGGATTGATGTGATTAACACCATTGTTTTCTGCGTAGGGTCATTGCAATTTGAGTGGCACTTGTGTCAACGTCCATCCATCTTCTCTCTTCTTTCATTCTACCCACCCACCCTCATAGATATTTGAGAAAATCAGTTATTGGAGGGTCTATTCCTGATAGCATCTCCTCACTCAATTCTCTTATGAGTCTGTAAGAATGGCTGTGCTTAAGACGACGAGCTTGCCTTTTTTTTCGTGCACACTCGTTCATGCTTATCTGCAGTCCTTCCATAGGAAGTATGGTAGTGTGAGACTCCCACTGGGAGTAAATGACATGTCTGTAGGATAACTGCCGGAAATCCAGCAAAGGCAGTGGCAATGTGTTGGTGCCGCAAGTGGCGGGCCTAGATCCTTGCTCCTGTCCTTGCACCTTACAAGCTGGAGGTATTCGTTGATACTCACTATCAAGCATTCCACTCCAAGCATTATCTTCCAACCACTTTCCACTATGTGAAACCAGAGATATGTCGGGCTGTGAGCTCAATGGGCTTATTCCAGCTGGGATTGGGAACCTCACTTCATTGCAGCACATGTAAGTACATGCTGCAATCGCATGATTCGCTCGGATATGGTGTTTAGGGAAAGAAGGGTGTTGCAGTGTATGCGGTATTGTGCCTGGATTGTAATCATGTGTTATTGCTCTCTCGCATGCCCATCATCCTTGTGTCTCTAGTGCTCTCTTCCACCTTCCGCCCGCTACACAATCTGTATCTTTTTGTTCGTCCCACTTCTGATTTCCCTGTTAGGTTGGACTAACCATTCATTCTAATTTATCTCTCTCAATGCAACCTGCATGAGACTAAGCATTTATCACGTCCAATTCCCACCTCTGTGCCAGAAATTTGTTTGACAACCAGCTTTCTGGGCCTATTCCAGTTGAATTTGGAAACCTCACCAATTTGTCTCGGCTGTGAGTTGCTTGACGCTTGCTGCTGCTGGGTCCTACAATTTGTTGAAAAGCAAAGTTTGTTTCATGTGGGGAGGAGTGTGCCCGATGTTTTCCACGTAGGCATTGCTTATTCAATAAAGCAATTCCTACACCGGCGCTCGTTCTCCCTTGAGCACTCGTTGAAGCATTGCCTCCCTCCATTCTCTCCTCACACCCGTGAGCCACTTTTGTGCGTATGCTTGCTGTCTCTCTGGCCATCCCCATACATCTCCAAAGCATTGCCTTGTCCGTCTCTTGTCTTGTCTCACTATACTAATTAATGTGAAAAGCTTACTCTGAATGATCCGCCAAGAATCTTGCATATTATATGCTCATCGTATCAACTTGCCAATTACAACAATGTTCATGTTCATTGTGTCTCTGGAGGTCTTCCTGCCCGGTTGGAAAGCATGCTAAATGGTACCTTCACATGAGCAGCTAAATGCTAGCGTAGCAGTTAAATGCGCCCAGCAGCATGTACGGCCACACAGCTCGTTCTTCATATGATTTGCAGAGCTATTTGTTGAGTCATGTCATCCTTCCTTCCTCCGCCACCAGGGCTCTGTCGGACAATAAGCTTACTGGATCTATTCCAGCGGGACTGGGAAGCCTCATCGCACTACAATATTTGTAGGCTATCTTACTAGGCTGTTGTTGTGGACTCGTATTGCTTGTATGGAATGCTACTGTCTGAAAGTAGAGGCTATATGTTTTCATCAAACTGATTTTCCGAAGCAATTGGGCAAATGGAAATTCATACGAGGCAGAATGACACCCATTGCATCCCCTTGTCCACCCTAGCATCCTCCTAGTCACATCTTGTCCATGTTCTCCCCGTTTACTCCTCTTCTTTAGCCTGTTTGACCCACTTTATCCCTCACAGCCAGTGGCAAATTCTGTGCTGATTTTCCCAGTGTCTCCCTTGCTCATTCCCTAGTGCCCCACAAAACGTTTTCCAACCATCCTTATAACGTCTCACCACCCACTGGGTCAAAACAGGGGTTATCTTTGAGGTGCAGTGGAGGCACTCAACCCTTACGCGTGATTCCTGCTGGAACTCAGTTCTTGCCTGATCACACCTTTGGGTCACTTGTGCGTGCTTGCAGTCCCTTTAGCTGCTTAAAGATCTCATCTCTTCACTTCTACCAACCAACCTACCCTCACACACAGGCTTCTCTCGAACAACGCTTTGACGTTCTCCATTCCCGACAACCTCTCCTCGCTTGTTAATCTCAATTTTATGTACGAAGCACCTTGTCTGTTGTGAATGCCTCGTGTAGGCCTCGTGCTAAGCATGAGAGGAGTGGTAACCACCTTGAACGGGCTGCATGAAGACTTCAAATTGCGTTCAAAGGGATGGTTGTGTTGCCAGCTACAACACCCCATGTCTAGTTTCTGCAACCAAAATGACCATTGATTGGTTCTATTCATTTCCAAGTTCAATGATTGACCAGCATTTGGTACGCTTGGCCCTCCCTCCCTCTCCATTCTCCTTCTCCTTCATCCTGGGCCGTTGTTTTCATCGTCTGTCGGGCAGATAGATGGGAATCACTTGAATGGAACCATTTCGCCCTCTCTAGGGACACTCAGCTTGCAGTGCCTGGAAGTATCATGGCATCAATCATTGAATATCCCAGCCATGATTGGTTTTGGGGTTGAAAACATTGAAAGAAACGTATGGCTGATTGCACTACCAGATCAGCACTGTTCCATCAATATCGCTTGTGTGTGCTTGTTGACCCTCTGGCCATGCCCACAAGTCTCATTTTTCTCTTCTACTGACCTTCCTTCTTTTGCACACAGAGATATCTCAAACAATGCTTTGACGGGCTCCATTCCGAACTGTTTGTGCTCGTGTGGTGATGTCGACGAATACACCTTTTATCTGTATGAAGCTCCTTGTCGGTTGTAGGGATGAGCAAGGGGCGAACACGAACACGTTCGTGGTTGCCCCTACACGAACACCTTCGTTTGCCGAACCGAACACTGTTCGGTTCGGCGAACACTTTGAGCAAAAAATGGTGTTCGCCGTTCGCCTGTGAAGGCGTGTTCGGGCGAACCTCGAACACTGTTCGTGTTCGTCGCGGGCAAATTTCAGCAGCGGCCCGAACACGAACGTGTTCGGGCGAACATCGAACACTGTTCGGCAAACAATTTAAGCCAAAAAATAAGACCTGTTCGGTTCGCCTCGAACACGTTCGAGGCGAACCGAACAGGTGTTTCCTTTTTTTTGCTCAACCCTAGTCGGTTGTCTATGCCTGAGTACGAGGCAACTGGTTCATGTATCGTGCTACGCATGAGAGGAGGGGTAAAGACCTTGAGTGGGCTGCTTAGGAAGGTCAATTTGCGTTTTAAGGGATGGTTGTGTTGCCGGCCACAACGCCCCATGCCACGGTTGTTTCTGTAACCAAAAGGACCATTGATTGCTTCTGTTCATTTCTAGGTTTAAAATGCAATCCATTGCAATGATTGGCACACACGATCCTCCCTCCCTCTTCTTCATTTTCCTTCTCCTTCATCATGGGCTGTTGTTCTTTATTGTCTGTCAGGCATGTAGATTCGAATCACTTGAATGAAATCATTACGCCCTCTTTTGGGGCCTTACTCAGCTTGCAGTGCCTGAAAATATAGTGGTAAAAATCTCTGGATATCCCAGCCATGAGTGGCTTTGAGGTTGACAACATTGAAAGAGTTGTATAGCTAGTTTCACTACCTAATCAGCTCTGTTTCATCAATATCGCTTGAGCGTGCTTGCTGTCCCTCTGGCCATGCCCGCGAACCTCACCTCTTCACTTCTACCGACCTACCTACCCACACACATAGGAATCTCTCAAGCAATGCTTTGACGGGCTCCATTCCCAGCAACACCTTCTCACATTTTGATCTCCGTTATCTGTACGAAGCACCTTGTCTGTTGTCTATGCCTCAATTCGACCCAACTGTTGAGATTAGGTTTGTGGGAGCCATGGCTGGTGAGAGAAGAGGCGAGAGAAAAGTTGCATTGAACAGACGTGTGTACAAAGTGAAAGAACTGGTTGGGCAAAAACCCAACTAAACGTAGAGTGCTTTCAACGTAGGAGCCAACTGCAAAATGAACCTAAACTCAACCAGAAATGAAATTTGGCCGAAATGGTAATATACCTTAGTTGTCGAGCACGTTCGAGACGAGCAGAACATTTTTTTTTTTTTTTTTTGCCGAATCTGCTCGTGGCGAACATGTTCACTGTTCGTTCCTTTGTAGCTAGCCGAGCCGTGACGAACACGAACATGTTCGTGCTCCTTTGTGTTCGTCGGAAAGGTCCTGCGACACATTTGTAGGTCGATATTGGGGCACATTCTTGAGCTCGACTTTAGCTACACACCAAGTAACACCAAGACACACCGGCAGCAATACTACCTTCAACACTCTTTAAATAGGTTGGCGCTAGGCATGAGCAAAAAACCAAACCGCGGTAAGTTTGGTTCGGTTTGGTTCGTTTTTTGCAAAACCATATCGTTGTTTTTTGCTTCCGGTTCGTCAATGAACCCAACCGGTTCATGCAGTTCGTTCCCGCCAAACTTCCGAGGCGCGACATACCAACCTTGGTCATGCAAGTTCCAATATAACCCAAAAGACAAAGAGTTGGAGCTGATTTCAAGCTTTGACACTTTACGAATTTCCCATTCCACCTAATATTTCTATGTCTCGTATGGTTCTTTTTTAGTTTTCAGCTGGTATGACCACATTTGAACAGGGAAAATAAACCGCTTAGGTTCGGTACCGAACCGGGCCGGTTCGACCGAATTGGTTCGGTTTAAACTACGAACCACGAACCGGTTCGGTTCGGTAGTGAACCCGTTTGGTTTCTATGGGATAAGAACGAACCGGTTCGGTTCGGTACCGTGCTCGCAATCAATTTTTAGTAATCTACAGAGACTTTGGGTAGTTGATATTAGGGTTTACAGTGTTTCTAAGGAAACACCTGCGCTGGCCATTGAATTTGGGTTCCTTAGGTGCTTCTCTTGAAAACATTCGCCGCACTACCATACATTTTGTAAGAAATCCAACTTGATCAGCGAGGTGAACGGCCATCGGCAGGCAGGTTAGCTGGAAATTGTGATGTGTGACTATCATGAGGGCTTCTGCTTAGGCGAGCAAGAACATGTTCTTGGTAAACATGCTCATGCTTAGGCAAAGACCATTAGTTTACACCCCCAGCTGCGAACAGGCGAACATTTATTATGTAAAAAGTGTTCGTGGCGAACCGAACATGTTGGTGTTCGCCCCTTGCTCAGGTCTAATTTACCCTTTTCCAGGTCGGGTAAACATAAACTTACTCGCAATTGTACGTTTACGTTTCTGCGCTTGTAAAATTTTGTAAACTCGGCCGGGCAGGCCAGAAAAATCCTGAAATCGAAGAAATTTCAGAAGACGACCCCATTTCGACCTAACGCGGGTTGAGCGCGGAGCCTTGCGAAAGTTTTCGTAAATGCTCGCATGCTCTCCAATTCGATAACGGGCTCAAACGGTCCGGACCGTGAGCGGGATACCCGTTTTGCACGCCGTCTGTACCGCGTGGTTTGGAAAAAAGTTACACGCCCTTAGTATGACGACCCTCACTTACAAACTCGTCATCTATACCAGACATTCGATCTACTCATGATTTCTATCTACCACTCATCTAAAAATTGATAGTAACTAGATTGAAGAACTTGTGTGCGGAACCCTGCATTTTTTGAACCCTAGCTTGTTGCGACGGGCAGTGTGAACCGATTCCCACACTGCCCAGTTGCGCTCAGACAAGGCGGCTGACACAGGCCATGTAAGGACACGGCACACAAGCCTGGACAGCTCGGGATTGTCAGTCCCATGCACCATCGAATGCTTTCCAGCCCTCATGGCCTCCCTTTTTGCAATGGCCTCAAGAAGGCCGAAGGAGCCTTCCAAGTTGACGAAGGCCGTGAGCCCCTTCTGCACCAAAAGGGAAATACACCTCTTCTCACCGTCCTTACGTCCGGCCAACCTCATGCAGGGCGCATGCGAGGACTTCATCCCAACGGCGCCTCACAATCCTCTCTATCTCTGCCAATTCCGCCCTGGACAAAGAACCCTCCCCTCCTCTCCTCCTCCAGCTTCTCGTTCATGTCCTCCATGAGCTGAAGCATCATGTCATAAATAAGGCCCATCATGCCCTTTCACATTGAATCCGTGGCCCTTAGCACCACGAATGAAAGCTGCAAGAGATCCACCAGGTAGGGGTGAGCAAGGGGCGAACACCAGTGTCCGCCGAACCGAACACTGTTAGGTTCGGTGAACAGTTTAATAAAAAAAAGGTGTTCGGTGTTCGCCTGTGAGGGCGAACACCTTGCTGCCACAGGCGAACACGTACGTGTTCGTGGCAAACACGTTCGTGTTCACCCATGGGGCATGTTCAACATAGTCATATTCACACAGACTGGCGAGCTCAAGAGGTAGGCCTTGCATAATGAACAGTGGGGAGGGTTGTGGATGTTTACGTGTCCATGCAATGTGCCAAATCCAAATACAACACTATCCCTTCAACAACACTACTATAGTATTAGTTCAAGCTACAGCCTAATCACACAACTTGCTACCACGCCATGGACCCACTTCCTCCAACCTCATCATCCCCGCCCCTCTCTGCGTCTGCCTCCACATGCTCCTCCTCCTCCTCCTCCTCCTCCTCCTCCTCCTCCTCCTCCTCCTCCTCCTCCTCCTCCTCCTCCTCCTCCTCCTCCTCCTCCTCCTCCTCCTCCTCCACATCCACCCCTTCGCCCTCAATGGCGAACTCGGGCTCTCCAACTCCTCTCCTACGCCGGCCCTCGCCGATCCTCTGACCAGGGTGTGAACTGTATCATGACCTGAGAATCGTGACAGAGCGCGTCCTCTCAGAGGCCAGGCTGTGCCGCTTCCATGAGATGAGGTTGCGGCCGAGAGAGAAGACCCGCTCGCTCGTAGCGGACGTCGCAGGGATGGCAAGATAATCTCTTGCCATATGTCTCAGCGTCTGCATGTTGGTGGCTGTGCGCCAGTACTCTAGCGCTGTCACATCCGGCCGCACCTGCTCGGACAAGTACCTGCTAACTGTTAGGGTGGTTCGCCACTGCCCTAGTGCCTACCGACCTACGCACTTCACCTAGGGATGGTAGCACGACACTATGAACGGTGGGAAATGTCGACCTAATGAGGAGAACCGACAGCTATAACGGTGGGGCTGCATGCTAAGGAGGGAAGGCGAGAAGAAAGCGGGAAAAACAAAATGGTGGGAGAGTGGGTTTCAGGAAATGTTGAGAAGACATTTCCGTAACCTAAAATGTCAAACCGCAACCGAACCGTGTTCGGTGCGAATGAGACAACCAGGTTTCGGTTCCGGTGTCGGTTACCGAAATCGGTTCCGCATGCGACTCCGGCTGAAACGCGGATGACACGTTACGCGAGGCGCACATCACATTTCGAAATGCTTAAATGTGTTTGTTTTCAATCAGTTCTTTGTACTTCTCTGTTTTGAGTGAAATCAGTCTTAAAAAACCAGAAATTCTCTCCAAGCATTTACTACCTTCAACGCTAGCCGGAGGTTATACCAAAACTAAGACTAACCTCGTCATCCGGCACCAACCCACCCCCCCCCCCCCCCCCCCCCCCCCCCCCCCCCCCGCCGCCTGGCTCGCCGACAGACGTGCCTCAAGTCGTCGGCGACTAGGAAGATACTGCGCGTCCTCGTCATCCCCCTCCCCCCCCCTCATCCTCCTCCCTGACGGTGGCAAGCGTAGTCGGCCGGGGAGCAAGCTCTGCAGCCCGGGCCTGGTACTCGGTGACACGCTCTCGTACCAGCGTGATCACCTCCCCGGACAATGGACGCGACCTCTCCCTCCTCTCCGTCTCAGGATGCTGCTTCTCCCAGTGTGCGTCATCGAACCACGCCGCTTTCATGGAGGGGTCCAGGAAGGTGGTGATCCAGTACTCGTTGCTGGTGATGTAGGCGTACTTCTTGAGATGGCCAAGCGCCGCCACGACCATCGGCCTCAACGTGGCAGACGGCCCCTTGGCCAGACACGTCTCCATGGCGTCGATCAAACCGTTGTAGTACGGCACCACCATCGACACCGTCGGATACGCCGCCCCTTCAGCGGCCTTTGAAACCTTGGCGAAGGGGCTGATGAAGGTCTTCACCGCCTGCATACTCTCCCAGTCCGCGTCTGTCAGGCGCATCTTCTTTACCTTCTTCTTGTCGTCCTTCGACAGACCCTGTCAATGTGCGGGATTGGTATGGTATGGTTTGGGCGAGTGTACATTAGACTCATGGGTTAGGGAGCATTTTGGGTTCATGCAACATACAAGCTCGAAGAAAAGAGTTGATCAACCATTTGAACACACCCTGACTGATCTGATCTGATCAACCAACAATGCACACAACTGTCATACCTGGGAAGAGGCAAAGTACACCGTGATGGGGTTCTGCAGTTCACAGGTGCGGTCGACCATGTTGTACGTGGACCCCCACCTAGTGGGACTGTCCTGCACCAGCTTCAGTGGCTTCTTGATGATGTGTGCCTGCGTGTTCAAGGTCTGCTGAAGGCCCAAGAAAGCCGCCGAGCGCTGCGGTGACAATCCTATCCACGTGGCCATGGCTCTCAGGTAGGCATGATCATTAGGCCCGACCCGACCCGACCCGACCCGACTTGGGCGGGCCAGCCGGGTTCCGGGTCGGGTCGGGTCGGGTCGGCACTTCTAGGAATCCTGGCCCGACCCGGGTATCGGGTGCCGGGTCAGGCTTGACCCGCCCCCGGGTCGGGTCGGGTAGGGGCCGGGTCGGGTCGGGTCGGGCCAGAACCCCATATGCAGTGTGTAGGGGTTTCCTCACTACTGTCCAGTGTTGCAAAGATTGAATGTTTGTGTAATATATTATTATATGAACGTCCTCCCTTCTGTAAATTAACTTTTCAAAGTTGCGTAAACTGTTACACGTGTTTGGAAAAATCCTACAAAGGCCTAAAAGCTAACGGAGTCAACTAGTAGTTCGACACACAGGAATAAGAACCAATCAAGTTTTGGTCCGATCACGTTATCTGATGAAGTTAAGGGCATGAGCATCAATTACGAACAAATATCACAACCCCCTCGATTCATCCTCCACTCCCAGGGTGGGATTGGCCGTTGAGGTGCCCTTGGGAGCGAGAGTCCCCGAAGGGTGGTGGTCTTGCCACGTCTTAATCAGCATGGAAGCACGCACTTGGCTAGCTGCCAGTCGGTGTCGCTGCCAAGTAATGATGTTCCTGCTCTGTCAGAATGCGCGCTCACTCGCTGCTGACGAAGCCGGTACCCCCAGATAATCTTTAGCCATCGCCCTCAAGCCCTTCAGTGTCTCCCTGCTGCGCCAATACTCCAATGCGCTTCCACCCCTCTGCCTCCCCTCTGCGAGGTACTGATCCACCTCATCCTGTGGATCCTCCCCCTCTTCGGCCTCCATGGCGTCCCACGCAGCGAACAACTGAGACTGGATGCTGACATTTGCCGATGCATTCACAGCCCCACCCCCTGCCGACGCATGCACCCCTGCACCCCTCGCACTAGTTACCTCCCCACCATCTCCCAGCGCCGTGGTGCTGGCTGCCTGGTACTCTGGAAGGCGCGCCCGTACCAGGGCCTTCACCCTATCAGGTCCTAGCTCCAGTGTCGCCCCTCTCGAATTCCCCTCTGCTGCCCTGGCTCGGTGCTTGAAGGGTGCGAGCTTCTGGCGCGGGTCCAAGAAAGTGGCTATCGCTGCCTCCTCGCTCACACCCCCCATGTGTCACTCCAGCTTGCTCAGAGCAGCAGTGATCAGCGATGAGCGCAGAGGGGAGATGCCAGGAGTGAGCCGTGCCTTCTCCTGCAGATCAATCAGCGCGTTGTACTGCGGTACAACGGCTGAGAGGGTCGGGTACAGGGAACCCTCGGCGAAGAGGGTGACTTGCTCGAATGGGGTGAGGAAGTCTCGGAGCTCGGCGAGGTCGTCCCAGTGCGCATCCGTCAAGCTGATGGCGTCCCACGCCTTCTTAGTCTCCTTGCTGATGGATGACTGGTATGGGTCACATGGGTTGTAAAGATGGAGGCACAGCATGGGATGGTGGCACATGCATGGGATGGTGGCACATGCATGAGATGGTGGCACATGCATGGAATGGTGGCACATGCATGGGATGGTGGCACATGCATGGGATGGTGGGACTAGCATGGGATGGTGGCACATGCATGGGATGGTGGCACATGCATGGGATGATGGGACATGCATGGGATGATGGCACATGCATGGGATGGTGGCACATGCATGGGATGATGGGACATGCATGGGATGATGGGACATGCATGGGATGGTGGCACATGCATGTGATGGTGGCACATGCATGGGATGATGGGACATGCATGGGATGGTGGCACATGCATGTGATGGTGGCACATGCATGGGATGATGGGACATGCATGGGATGGTGGCACATGCATGTGATGGTGGCACATGCATGGGATGGTGGCACATGCATGGGATGGTGGCACTATTCAAGCCATGCCCACGTACCCCCATTCGCCATAGTCACAAGCGAATGTGAATCCTACCATACGTACATCTGAATCGTCGAAAAACATGGCAATGGGCATGCGCAGCTCGAAGCCCCCGTTCACCATGTGGAGTGTAGAACCCCATCTCGTCAGGCAGTCCACGATCAAACGCAACGGACCCGATGGTCGCCGAGAACCCGGAGGACCCTGGGGCCGGGTCTAGGGATGAGCAAGGTGGCGAACACCTGTTCAGTTCGCCTCGAACGTGTTCGAGGCGAACCGAACAGGTTTTGTTTTTCAGCTTAAATCGTTCGCCCGAACGTGTTCGATGTTCGCCCGAACACGTTCGTGTTCGTGGCGCTGCTGCAGAACGCCCCGTGGCGAACACGAACGTGTTCGAGGTTCGCCCGAACACGCCTCCACAGGCGAACAGCGAACACCTGTTTTTTCCTAAACTGTTCGCCGAACCGAACAGTGTTCGGTTCGGCAAAAGTGGGTGTTCGACAAGGGGCGAAGACGAACATGTTCGTGTTCGCCCTTTGCTCATCCCGGCCCGGGTCGCCGCGTATCCCTTCTCGAGCTCGAAGAAACGATCTGTGCGCAGTGTGGACCAGCCGATGTAGTTCGCCACGTCTCGCAGCCTCTTGAGTGGCTCGGCCACCTCGTCAACCTTCAGTGCAGCTTGCACTGCAAGGTTGACGACGTGCGCCATGCACCTGTTGGGGCAATGCATTGTGCAGAGTGGGTTTAATGTCAGTGTACCACATAAGCACTGCCATAACAAACATGGTGGACTACGCCAACAGTTTATAGCATACCCTTACGGAGACAGCCCCATAGTACCTGAAGTGCCTCCAGCGACTGAGCAGTGGTGGGTGCCCGGCGAGCAGACGCATCGCCCTGCTGTTGTTCTCGGCGTTGTCACACGTCACGGCGAACAACATCTTCTCCAAGCCCCACTCCCTCAACACCTCCTCCAGCTCATCGGCTATCAAGTCCCTTGTATGAGAGCCCTTAAGCTCCGTGAAGTCTATAACAGCCTGTTTCAGCTGGAAATCGCTGGTGACATAGTTGGCAGTCACCCCCATGAAGGCCACGTTGTTCTCACTGGTCCAGATGTCAAAGGTGAGGGACATCCTTCCCGCCAGGCCATCACCCACCAGTAGCTGCCGCATGTCCTCCCTAGCAGCCTCCCCGTATGCCTGCATGTCCCGTGCCAAGCGATGGCGTGAGCCGAGCAGTAGCGCAGCTCCCGGGTTCAGCATCTGGACAAATGCTTTGAACTGTAATGCAGGAGTCAAAGGATGTCAGTAAAAGGATTATGAAGATGCTTTGGGATTAGCCAACAGAATGCAGTGCGGCTGCCCTGCACTAATATGACCACCTCAATACGAAGATGAACATGACCAACGGCAAGAGAACGGCGTCACTCACCTCACGACACTCAACAAGTCGAAACGGAAGGTCAGCTGCCGCAAATAGCTGCACCAATCCCTCGCGCAGCTGCTGGCCATGAACACGCGGCGTGACGAATGCGGCCATGCTCATCTGCCTACTCCCACCAGCCTCGGATCCGCCAGTCACTGCGCTGTCTGGTGTCTGTACAATCCTGGGCCACGTGGCTGCATGCTCCCAAGGCCACGCTGTCTGGTCGGGGACATCCGGACCCCATCCCCCATCGGGAAACGTCAGGTTGTCTGGCTTGTTTGGATCCTTGAAACGCCGACACCAGATCTGCAGACTGGGGTAGTGGCTCCTCTTGAGGTGTCTCTTCCCCGTGCTCGTGCAACTACCTTTCCAGCTAATCTTCTTCTTGCAAATCTTGCAATTCCTAGCCTCTTTCACATCCTTCTCACTGAACATGCCACGAACCAGCCCGGGTTCTGCATTCCTAAGCACCTCCTCAGTCCATGGGTCCAGCTCCTCGTCGGTAGGGGTCCTGCCCGCCCTGTCGGACCTCTGGCTTGCTCCAGCCCCCGCAGACCCACCCAAAGGTGCACCACCTGCCGCAGTGGCGGAGGTACCTGCCCCTGCTGCGCCCGACCCCTCAGAACCACCCGCGGCTGCCCCCTGCGGCTGCGAATTCGACGCCGGCCCGGCCCCTCCAGCTCCCGACCCCACAGGCCCACTCGTGCGTGGCCTCTTTGCTGCTGCACCGCTGCCACGCGCGCCACTGCCACCAGCCTGGCCCCCTCCTCTCCCTCCCCAACCCTCATCACCCGATCCTCCACTCGTGCCGGCCGCCTCCCCCGGAGCCGGCCTCCAATCCGGGTCCTTCTCCTTTCCTCGTGTTCCTTGCTCCTCCGTCACTGGGCCAGGTCCTTGAGACTCCCATTCCCGCACCTCTTCACGCCTCCTCGTCGCGATTGCATCGTCCCACCCAATTTCCTGCCCATTGAAGACGCTCCCCAAGCGAAAACTGGCCCTGGAGGCCGGTGTCGGGAGGCCTCCAAGCGAAGCCCCAGGAATAGCACGTGAGCTGTCTTCTTCTCCCTCCATTCGCGTGCAAGCGGCGTCGATTACGTTTCGGACCTTGGAGTCGCGACGTTTTTGTAATGGCGCAGGCCTAGACAATTGGGGGTCGCGTCCCTAAAGATGCGGGCGTGGTAGGCGCGCAGTGGGCGATTTGAACGCGGGGCCAGAGTTTAGTCGTGTGTGAGAGCTAGGAATAACTAAGTCTATAAAATCGAAAATCTGAGGTTGGTCGCGCTAGGCTAAGAAGTCCATTCCGCCAACATTGACACACTTGAAATAGGGTTCCTAAACATGGGCGCTGGATTAGAGAGTTCTAGAGCTTGAGAACGAGCTATTGCTAGCTGCCTAGGTATAGCAGATCGAAGTCAATGTCGAGGGAACAAAAAAACCCTAGACATTGACTTCGCGATCTGCTTTAGTTCGAATTGTCGTGGGAGGGAAACTCGGGTCGGGCCAAATGCCCGACCCGACTTAGGGCGCGGTACCCGATTTCGAGTCGGGTCAAATTTCGGGTCAAAAACTGACCCGACCCGACCCGGTTTCGGGTGTCGGGTCGGCCCGACCCGGCCGGGTAAACCCGACCCGACCCGCCCGGGTCAACGCTTCAAAATGCCTGACCCGACCCGGGTCAAAACCCGGGTCGGGTCGGGTCGGCCCGACCCGCCGGGGCAGGATGATCATGCCTACTCTCAGGATCCTCAACAGCCTGCGGATGGTCTTCACAGCCAGCGCTGCCTGCACTGCAAGGTTGATCACGTGTGCCAAGCACCTGCGGGTGGCACACAACAGCAATTGCAATAGATGGGGTATGGTGCATGGCACTGGGGGAGGTGAGGTGGCAAGGTGCATGGCATTGGGGAAGGGGAGGTGACATGGTGCTTGGCATAGGAGAGGCAGCATGGTGCATGGCATTGGGTAGGGAGGTGGCATGGTGCATGGCATGGGGGAGGTGGCATGGTGCATGGCTTTGGCGGAGGTGGCATGATACACAGTGTCGTAGGTGCAGGGTCTCGACCACACACCCACACACACCCACCCAATGCACACTCCCACACTTAGCGGAAGTGCATGCTAGTGTTGAAGAAGCATAAACCACCCCCCTCCTTCGACAACCTCCTGAATGCTGCAATGTTGCTAGAGGCGTTGTCGGTCGCGAGACCAAGACAGCACCCCTGCAACCTCCACTGCACCATCATCTCCTCCACCACCTGCGCCATCTCCTCGCCAGTATGACGCCCAAGCATCTCGCGGAATTCTAGCACGGCTGTGTGCAGCTGAAAGGTCTTGTCGATCCAGTGACTCGTCACTACAAGCCATGCCTTGCCGTTGGGTGCCGTCCACATGTCAATGGTGAATGACATCTTGCATCCCAACTCCCCCTCCTTCGCCATCAGCTCTGCAACGGCGGCCTGGAGGGCAGCCTCAGCAAACACCACTGTGTCGCGTAACACCGTCCAGCGCAATGGGATGAAGTTTTTCTTTGCGCAGTTGGTGTTGAGGATAACCAACAGCTCTCGAAACTGTAGAGGAAATAGGACAATGACATACAGAGATGGTTTAGAACGGATGGCAATGTGGTGGAGATGGAGTGGCATGACGGCACCATCAGACTTACATATCTCCCCTCAACATCCTCTTCAAACCCTCCCCAGTGTACTGTCCTAAACATGCGCACCATAGCTGGAATGTGGACGGACACTCACCGCCTCGGACTCGACAATGCGGAAGGGAAGGTCGCAGGTGACCACCAGCTTGGCGATCGCCTGCCGAAGGTGCGCCTGAGACAGCTTGGTCGTCATGAAGCGCTCGATCCCTCCAGACCCCTGCTCCCCTCGCCTTGCCTTCCCTTTCTTCTGGGGGACATTGGGCCAGCTCTTGGCGTGCGGCCAAGCCTCAGCGTATCCATCCGGCACACCCACGTACCCCCCTCTAGGAAACGTCTCGCCAGGTAACTGGACCTGTGGAGTGTGGTACCGGTGATACCACACGTGCATGTGCATTGTGTGGTAGCTCTCAAAATGACGCTCGCCTGGTGTGGTAGTGGAATTCTTCCACGAAATCCTATTGGTACAAATCTTGCACTGACGCTTGTAGTCTGTCCCTAGAGGCCCAAACATCTGGACTTGCCACCCCAGCTTCCTCCTCCCCTTGGCATTCCCTTTACTACTCTCGGACCCCCCTGTCCTCGTCAAGAAACTCAGGCGCGATGACACCCTCTCCCAAAGGCTCTCCCGTAAATGTGCATAGATACGCTCTCGGCCGAAGCTTGGGAGCTCTCTTCCTCCGCTTCGGCATCCCAATAGACACTCGCTTCCTCCCCACCTTAACACCCACACTCTCACCTCCTTCCGCCACGTGCTGTGAGGCCGCCTCTACCTCTACCCCTCCACCCTCTCCCACCCCCTCATCCACCTCCTCTGGCTCCAACCCTTCCAACTCGTCGTCTTCATCATCACCCCCTTCCCCACCCCCGTCCTTCTCGGGATCCTACCCCTCCTCACTTTCATCACCGCTCCCGTCCTCGTCCTCCTCCTCCCCGTCCTCACTCTCTTCGTTCTCATCCTCCTCCTCACTGTCACTTTCCGTCCGCATCTGGCCTGAAGGAGGGGGTCGGGAGCCACTGTACCGGAACGAGTGGCGGGATGTCGGGCCCGGAACGGCCATCAACCCCCCAACAAAACAAGCACCAACACCAGCGGGCCGTCCCCTACTCGCCCTTGCATGGGTCGTGGGGGTGACGTCGGTGTACTGCTCTCGCGAATCCGAGCACCTTCATGATGACCAGAGGAGGCCATAGATCTAGTCCAAACCCTAAAGTTGAGGTAAGATAGTGGTAGAGCTCGAGTGCCACCAACGCTTGGTACGAATAGCTTGGGAAGATGTCCCGTAAACACTAACCCTAAAAACCTAGGTGTAGTGGCGGATCGAATGCTCAAATGCTTAAGCGCTATGTAAAAAGCCCAACATTCTGGAATTGAAGGCAAAACCATCTCAATGCAATGAAGGTCGACGTACTAATCCTAAGAAGATACGTTGAAAGCCTCCGAACGCTAAGGCTAAGGCGCTCAGGCTAGACCAGGGGCGGGCGCCTAGGAAGATGTGAGTTTGAGCTCATAAAATGAGCTCAAACTCTATTTGGTCGCGGCCAAGTGTTCGTCGTGTTCGACGCGACTCGTCCAGCCGGCCCAGACGAACCTCGAACATGTTCAGGCGAACGTCGAACATGTTCGACCTGAACATTTTTGGCCAAAAAAAAAGCCTGCTTGGTTCGCCTCGAACATGTTCGAGGCGAACTGAACAGGCGTTTATCATTTTGCTCACCCCTACCACCAGGTAAGCCGCCCTCTTCCAGCACTCCTCATCCATGAAATGGGTGCGAACGTTTCCCCCGTCTGCTTCCTCGCCCCCTTTGCCCAAGATCCTCACTCGCCATCTGAACCAACGAGGTTCTCACCTCGCACAGCTGTGAGTTGGGTATGTACAGTGTGCCAAACCTGGTGCCCGCCGGCTTCAGCCCCTGCTTCCCCTTCCCGCCCTGCACCGCCCTACTCCTCGGGTACCCGCGGGTGAAGTGGTGGTTGCGGATGAAACAGATGAGATCTACTTCTCGCTCCACAATGCCCCTCACCCACGGCATCTGCCCCACGTCCTCCATGAGGAGGTCGCGCACGTGCGTGGCGCACAGCACATGCTTGGTGTGGGGCCATTTCGCCATGAGCTCCTTGCATGCATTCCAGTGGTTTGACCCTCTGCCCATCCAAAAGGCTACCACATTTTCCAGCCAGACTTTGTCTATGATGAGTATTGAAGCGATGTAACCACCTGTTTTTTATGTCATCTTGCAATCACCAGATTCGGTAATCACGGCACCCAAATCGTTGGTCATAAGAATGTTGGCTTGCAGTCTCTCGTGGTTATCTAGTCATTATATCCAGTACGATTGTCACCCGGAAAAAGTCCTTGCTCGATGCGCATGCGGCATTGGTTAAGGCTAGCCCCTCCCACATAGCGGCGAGTCGGCAGGACGTAACCACTCCCCTCCTTGGCAATTGACATGACCGCATTGTGGGGACAACGGGTGGTCGGTGTGGTGCTCGGGAAGGCGAAGGCCGGCAAACAGCAAGCAGATGGACTTGTCCACCTCAGTCTTCGCACATGCCGCCCGGCCGCCAAGGAATTCAGTGATGCGCCCTTTTCTCACACCTCCAGCGACGGCGCCGAGCACATTCTCTTCTACTCGCGTCTCCTCCTTGCGATCATTGACCTTCCTCTCGTAATGCGCGCGCACTGCCGCACGCACATTGAACGACACTTTTGGACACAGGCGAACGTCGCTCTTCTTACTTGGCGAGGTTCTGAGCGCATCGAAATGCGCCATCCTTGAACTTGTGGCTGCAATGCTTGCAGACACGGATTACGCCTATGGTGTTGGGGCGGAGGAACTTTCAAGTGCTGGAACACCAGATGCATGCTATTCTCCTCTTGCCATTGTGTCGAATCCGAACCTGACGGAACATTCGGATCACTCCCGGGAGATGCGACTGGGGTAGAGATTGATTGAGGAAATGGATCAACAAACTAGGAGAACTACGAAAAGAGTAGCAGGAGAGAAGAACTGACTGAGAATGGTCAGAGTTAGGCTGAAGTTATACTTACACTGTATCTGTTGTTAAGAGCTGGACGTGACTTGTGTTGGAGGCGGCTGAGTTGGGAGTGTGGTAATGTGGGCATATGTGCATACATTGTGGCAACACGATGTGGCACATTATGGCTGTGAAAGTGTGGATCTTGAAATGTTGGGATACATGCGCAAATGCATCAATGTGATACGTAAATATTCCTTTGCATTTTTTCTTTCATAGCGCACGACCCTCCTTCCCTCTTCATCCTCTTCATCCTCCTCCTTCTTCATCCTGGGCTGTTCTTCTTCATCGTCTATTAGGCATGTAAATGGGAATTATTTGAATGGAACATTTCCACCGTCTCTAGGTGCCTTACACAGCTTGCAGGGCCTGAATGTATGGTAGCACTCTTTAGAAATCCCAGCCATGATTCGCTTTAGGGTTGACAATATTGGACGAACCGAATGGCTAGTTGCACTACCTAACCGGATCTGTTTCATCAATATCATTTCTATGTGCCCGCTGTCCCTCTAGCCATGCCCACACGTTCCACCTCTCCAGTCCTATCAGTCTACCTACCTATACACACAGGGATCTCTCGAACAACGCTTTGACGGGCTCCATTCCCAGCAACATCGATTCACTTTTTAATATTAACTATCTGTATGAGCACCTTGTCTTTTGTCAATGTCTCAATACGAAGCAAATTGTTTTGACCTTGTGTAAAGCATGAGAGGAATGGTAAGCACCTTGAACGGGCTGCACTTCAACTTGCGTTCAAAGGGATGGCTGTGTTGCTAGCAACAACTTCCCGTGTTCCTGCTTCTGTAACCAACAGAACCACTGATTATTCTATTCATTTTCAGGGTTGAAGTAAACTCCAATGCAATGATTGGCCAGCATTCGGCACGCTTGAACCTCCATCCCTCTTCATTCATATTCTTCATCCCGGGCTGTAGTTCTTCATCGCTTGTAGATGGGAATCACCTGAATGGATCCAATCCGCTTTCTTTAGGGGTATTACTCAACCATCAATGCCTTAATGTATCATGACAGCAATCTTTGGATATCCCAACCATGATTAACTCTGGGGTTGACAACATTGAAGAACCGCATGGTTTCTTGCAACAACTAATCAACCCTGTTTCATCTATTTCGCTTATGTGTGCTTGCTATCCCTCTGGCCATGCCCACAAGTCTCATCTCTTCACTTCTACTGACCTACCTACTTTCACACACAGAGATCTCTCGAACAACAATTTGACGGGCTCCATTCCCAACAGCTTCTCCTTGCTTCCTGATTTGCAGTATCTCAGTTATCTGTATGAAGCACCTTGTCTATAGTCTATGCCTCAATACGAAGCAACCTGTTAAGATCTCGTGCTAACCACGAGAGGAGTGGTAAGGACTTTGAGGGGGCTGCATAGGAACTCCGACTTGCGTTCAAAAGTATGGTTGTATGGTTGGCCACAACACCCCATGCCATGGTTGTTTCCATTGTTAGAATATACTTCACTACAATAATTGGACATCATTTTTAATCCATGAACATGAACCTCCCACCCTCCACATTGTCCTCTTTCATCACGGGCTGTTGTTCTTCAGCGTCTGTCAGGCACGTAGATTGGAACCAGTTCGCTTCATTTAAAACTGGAGGTCCAAGAGTTTCAAAGTTAGGAAGGTTGGTTGGGACTTGAAATGCAATTGGAGGGCGAGGAGATGGGTTCCCGAAATTGTACAATGCTGTTCGCCCGATTTTGGGCGACATTAGTGTTACCACTAGGGATGAGCAAAGGGCGAACTCGAACACGTTTGGGTTCGAGTTCGCTCGAACATCAACATTTCCCGAACCGAACACGGTTCGGTTCGGCGAACAATTTAGGGTTCAGGAGGTGTTCGCCGTTCGCCCATGGGGGCGAACATTTGGTATGTGTGGGCGAACTCGAACATGTTCGAACCGAACATGTTCGAGTTCGCCCGTGGGCACTTTCGTTATAGTCACATTGGTCAAACAGGGAATCTGGAGGGTTGGGAAGATAGACAGGGGGGTGGAGGGTGTATATGTGTTCATGCAACGTACACTAGCATACGACACCATCATGTTTTGCCTATATAAAAGTCACTGTCAAATTAAATCCTACGCCTGCACACCACTGCTACTACCAACAACAGCATGCTCCGCGTCAGAGGTGTCGCCAGCACCCACCCCCTCCTGCTCCTCCTCCCCCTCCTCCTCCTCCCACTCGTCGTCCTCCTCCTCCCCCTCGCCTTCAATGGCGAACTCTGGTGGTGCCTCGCCTTTTGCACGGCGGCCCTCGCCTATCCTCTGTCCAGGGTGTGAGGTGTACCATGATCTGAGAATCATGGAAGCTCGCGTCCTCTGAGAGGCTAGGCGGTGCCGCTTCCAGGATATGAGGTTGCGGCCGAGGGAGAACACGCGCTCGCTCGACGCGGACGTGGCAGGGATGGCAAGATAATCCCGGGCCATGCGCCTCAGCGTCTGCATGTTGGTGGCGCTGCGCCAATACTCCAACGCTGACACGTCGCACCGCACCCTCTCAGATAAGTACCTGCCAACCTCGTCATCCTGCACCATCCCACCCCTCCCCGCCTCTTGGCTCGCCGAAAGACGCGCCGCAAGGCGTCGGCGACTAGGGAGAAACTCGGCGTCTTCGTCGTCATCCGCCGCATCTCCCTCCTCCTCCTCCGTCACTGGGGCAAGTGGGGTCGGCCGAGGGGCAATCGCTGCAGCCCGGGCCTGGTACTCGGCCATGCGTTCGCGGACCAGCTGGATCACCTCGCCTGACGAGGGACGAGGCCTCGCCCTCCGGTCGGTATCGGGATGCAGCGTCTCCCAGTGCGCGTCCTCGAACCACGCCGCCTTCATGGAAGGGTCCAGGAAGGTGGCGATCCACAACTCGTTGCTTGACATCAGTTCATACTTCTTCAAGAGACCCAGCGCCGCCTCAATCATCGGCTTCAGCGTAGCCGATGGCCCCTTGGCAAGGCGCGACTCCATAGCGTCGATCAGGCCGTTGTAGTACGGCAGGACCATCGCCACTGTAGGGTACGCCGCTCCCTCCGCGGCCTTGGAGACTTTGGCGAATGGGCTGAGGAAGGTCTTGACAGAATGCAGAGTCTCCCAGTCTGCGTCCGTCAGGCGCAAGGTGTCCATCTTCGCCTTGTCAGCCTTCGACACGCCCTGTCGGGTAGAACGTATGGGTGGGCGGGTGTTAGGGTGGAAAGTGGGGTGGTTGAGGTTGTTGGAGGTCCGATAAGTTTAGTCAAGCATGGCCAACAGTGGTGCAAGTCCCAGAAGAAAACACCCCGACTGACATACCAACACATAAAACCGCATACACAACACCTGGCACACACACACACCTGTGTCTGGGCAAAGAAGACAGAGATGGGTTCCTGCAGAACCCCAGCTCGCTCGACCATGTCGTGGGTCGACGACCCCCAGCGTGTGGGACTGTCCTGCACCAGCTTCAATGCCGGCTTCGGTCTGGCGGGGTTGCCCTGCGCGTTCAGGGTCCGCTGAAGGCCCAAGAACTTCCCTGAGCGCTGCGGCGAGGAGCCTATCCACGACGCCATCTCCCTCAGAATCTTCAACAACTTGCGGATGGCGGTCACAGCGAGTGCTGCCTTCACTGCAAGGTTGATCACGTGTGCCAGGCATCTGCGCACATCACAAAACATCAATGGCGGAGAGAAAGGGAAGTGTGAGTGCACATTGGCATAGATCCGCGAAACACTACCACTCTCAAGCCGCATAGGCCCACCCGCCTGTACTACAACCACAACATGTTCACATCACAGGAACGACGCACCCAGACTCCCTCATCGCACATCCCACGCACACTCCCTTTCGTACCGGAAGTGCATGCGCGAGTTGAAGAAGCACTGGCCACCACCCTCCTCCGACATCCACCTGAAAGCGGCAGTGTTGCTGGAGGCGTTGTCTGAGGTGAACCCAAGACAACGCGTCTCCAACCCCCACTGCACCACAGTCTCCTCAACCACCCTCGCCATCTGCTTGCCCGTGTGACGCCTGTGAATCTCGCGGAATTCAAACACCATTGTGCGCAGCTGGTAATTCTCGTCGATCCAGTGACCCGTTACCACTAGCCACGCCTTGTTGTTAGGCGACGTCCACATGTCGATGGTGAACGACACCCTGCACCCCAGATCCCCCTCCTTTGCCAGCATCTCCGCAATGGCTGACTGAAGAGCGGCAGCCGCATCGACCACTGTATCGCGGGAAACCGTCCAGCGCGAGGGGATGAAGTTCTTCTGCGCGCAGTTGCGGTTTAGCAGGATGAGTAGCTCATGAAACTGGAGAGGAGTAGAGACAAGGGGGGAGAGGGGAGTAAACGTCAGGGGGATGGGATGAAAATAATATAGCACTGCACTGGGCCACACGCAAACATTCAAAACACAAAGGGACAGACCCGTCCACTAACCACATACTTGCCCAATCATGCATGGGATGGGATGGGGCACTTACAGCCTCGGCCTCGACGATGCGGAAGGGGAGGTCGCAGGTGACCACCAGCTTCGTGATCGCCTGGCGTAGCTGCACCGAGGTCAGGTTGGTTGTCATCCACCGCTCCATCCCGCCTGACCCATGACCTCCACCAGTCGCCATCCCTTTCCCCTTGGCAAGCTGCGGCCAAGTCTTGGCATGTGGCCACTGATAGACGTAGCCATCCGACACTCCCTTGTAGCCCCCACGTGGAAACGTCTCCCCTGGCAAGTGAACGGACGGGGTGTGGTAACGGTGATGCCACACATGCATGTGCGCAGTGTGGAAGCTCGCAAAGTGCCGCTCGCCGGGGGTTGTTGTGGATTGCTTCCACAAAATCGTGTCTGTGCAAATCTTGCACTGACGCTTATCGTCTGCCCCTAACGGTCCGAACATCATTACTTGCCACCCCGGCTTCCTATTACCCTTGCCAGTCCCCTTACTACTCTCGGACCCTCCGTCCTCGTCTAGGAACTCGGGAGCGATCACACCCTCGCCCAAGGGCTCCCCAGTGAACGTGCAGGGATACGCCCGCTCCCTCAACTTGTTGGCCTTCTTCCTCTGCCTCGGCTCCCTAATGGTCACGGCCTTTCTCCCCCCCACCTTAACCCCCACGCTCCCTCCCCCTTCACGCACATGCTGTGATCCCGCCTCTGTTGCCGCCCTTCCACCACCCTCTCCCACCTCCTCCTCCCGCCCCTCTGGCTCCAACCCATCCATCTCGTGGTCTTCATCATCATCATCTCCCCCCTCCCCATCGCCATGCGTCTCTGGGTCCCACGCCGCCTCGCTGTCATCCCCGCTCCCCTCAGTGTCCTCCTCCTTCTCGCCCTCACCATCCTCCTCCTCATCCTCCTCCTCGCTGCCGCTCTCCGGCTGCGTCGGCGTCTGCCCCGAAGGAGGGGGTCGAGGGCCGTCGTAACGGAAAGAGCGACGAGAGGTCGACGCCGGTACGGTAAACAACCCCCCAATGAAGATCGCGCCGGCTCCTCCCGGTCCATCCCCTACTCGCCCCTGCATAGGTCGTGGTGGAGATCCCGGTGCGCTGCCCTGAGCTCTGCCTGCACCTCGGCCTATGGATCCACCAGCCCTGGAATGGAAGCCATAACTCCGCCCTCGACCCTAAACCCTAAAACACCCTTCCTGCAACGGTAGCGTTGGATGGTGCCGCACGTTCCTAATGCCCGATCCGAATCCTACGGCGTAGGATACGCCCTACTTGAGCCCTTTGCGGAGATGCTCGCTGAACCTTAATAGTAACCCTAAACTCCCTACACTACGTTAAACCCTATGCATGGATCTATCTATCTAATGTCCGTTTACACTGCAAGTATCAGCGTGCACTTGCTTGCACCTAGAACAAGGAGGCTAGGGCGGCTGTGTGAGGGAGCGCTAAGGCGAAAACGACTTCTGAGTTTGAGCTCACGAAATGAGCTCAAACACAAATTGGCCGCGACCTAAATCTGGTTGCGGCCAATTTTGACGCGAACATTTTTGGTGTTCGCGTGGCCCCCAAGTCGAACACAAACACGTTCGTGTTCGGCTTGGAGAGCCAAAATTCAGAGGCGAACGTCGAACATGTTCGGCCGAACACCGAACATGTTCGGCCCGAACAATTTAGGCAAAAAAAAATGCCTGTTCGGTTCTTCTCGAACATGTTCGAGGCGAACCGAACAGGCGTTCGGGATTTTGCTCATCCCTAGTTACCACAAATGCTGGGCAACACAATCGCCCATGTCAAAACATCGACACACACATTCTGCGACCTTTTCCCGTTGCCTGCCGGGTTCAGACTAGGCTTCTACACGCCCATAGCGCAAACAAGTAGAACGTCGGGAGAGTGTACAGAACCAAATCGAGCTCGGAAACTCACAACGTACTCAGCAAGTTCAGCAGGTCCTGTCCACCAAGTGAATCGTAATTGCCACTTAGGGATGACGGGCCGAGAGGATAGTGGTCCGCGTGCAGGCATCGCTGCCGACTCTGCCGATTACTCGCATCGGTCCGCGGAAGTCGAGAGTGAGTAGGGGGTTCAGCGCGCCGTCACGCTTTTAGGGTTTACCATCCGGTAAAAGGTATGCGTCGGGCTGTTCTTCGTGGAGCCGTGAATGCAATGTGCAGCGCGCGCCACCGAGCACTCAAAGCGCGTATTCTATAAGCTTGAGTCTAGGCACACGTTGGAAGGCGGTGTGAGAGTACGACGGCTTATGCGAGCTATGCTTGCTTGCCCTTACTTTATCATGCTATTTCTATCATAGGATAATTATATGCATGCATGAATTGTTTGATTTCCTAGGCTAGGTGCTTTCTTATATTTTATTATAGTTTTAGCACCGAGCTAGGTTGCGTGCACCGAATTCTGGCTTTTTGGTTGCCACCGAATTGCCTTCTACCGAATTCGGGAAGGATCTGTTCGGGACGCTTCGCGACCCGCGGAACCTTCGCGTAACATCTGGTTACAGGGCCTTGTGTCGAGCCTATATTTAGCCTCGTGTTGTACCCAGGTGATCATTCAATTACAATTCTCTTTTCTGAGCTCGATCCTAGATCCTCACAGGCGGTGTGAGATTTTAGCCTCCGGCTGGGCATGAGCAGTTCCCTCCATGCATCTTTTTGTCAGTTTTCACAGACCATATGAGAAATACAAATACGGAAGGTATGTGTCCACGGGCCCAGTGGAAGCTGGCACCATCACGCCTGCGTGCTTAGCCCTCCTTGCTCACGACAGTCAGCAGCGGCCCCTGCTCGATCAGGAAAGTAGGTGAAAGATAGTGCAGAGGGGGGAAGATTGGTTGAGTGGAGGGGGAAAGAAAGTGAGCAGGGAGGAAATGGGATAATTGAAGGGGAAAAGGGGGTGAGCAGGGGGGAAATGGGGTAAGTGAAGGGGAAAAGCGAGTGCAGAGGGGGGAACTGGGGTGAGTGAAGGGAAAAAGAGTGCAGAGGGGGGAAATGGGGTGAGTGAAGGGGGGAAGAGAATGAGCAGGGGGGAATGGGGTGAGTGAAGGGGGAAAGAGAGTGAGCAAGGAGGAAACGGGGTGAGTGACACAGGAAGAGAGTGAGCAGGGCGGAAATGGGATGATTGGAGGGAGAAAGGACGTGAGCGGGGGGGAAATGGGGTGAGTGAAGGAGAAAAAGTGAGCGAGCAGGGAGGAAATGGGATGTTTGAAGGGGGAAAGGGAGTGAGCAAGGGGGAATGGGGTGAGTGAAGGGGAAAAGAGAGTGAGCAGGGGGGAAAAGGGGTGAGTGAAGGGGGAAAGAGGGCGCAGAGGCGGGAAATAAGGTGAGTAAAGGCCATTGAGCGTGAGGAGGGAGGAGATGGGTTGTTTGAAGGGGGAAAGGGGTGCGCGGGGGGGAAATAGGGTGAGTGAAGGGGGAAGAGTGTGAGCAGGGGGGAAATGGGATGGTTCAAGGCGGAAAGAGAGTGTGCAGTGGGGGAATGGGAATTTGGAAGGGGGGTAGAGTGTGAGCAGGGGGAAATGGGGTGATTGATGGGAGTAGGGGAGTGCGCGGAGGGAAATGGGGTGGGTGAAGGGCCCAGGAGTGTGAGCAGGGGGTAACGGGATCATTGAAGGGCGGGAGACGTTAGAGCAGGGACTCATGGGACTTAGGAAGGGGGAGAGAGAGAGGGAGCGAGGAAATGGGGTGAATCAAGGGGGAAAGAGAGTGAGCAGCGGGTAATGGGGTGAATCAAGGGGGAAAGAGATAGAGCAGCGGGAAATGGGATGCGTGAAGGGGAGTGGAGGGCGCTGAGGAAGGGAATGTGGGTGTGCTGACAACAGGGAATGTGTGTGGGGAAGGGGATGTGCACGCAACGGGGAAGGGAATTTGCTCGCGCTAAGGAAGGAAAAGTGCGCGCCGGGGAAGGGAATTTGCTCGCGCCAAGGAAGGGAAAGTGCTCGTGTGAAGGGCATGTGCGCGCGCTGGGGAAGGGACTGTTTGCCGTGGGCAGAGGCCAGGTGCGCGCACTGCTGAAGGGAATGTGCGCGCGCTGGGGGAGGGCATGTGCGCGCGCAGAGGGAGGGCATGTGTGGGCGCTTAGGAAGGGAATATATGGGTCCTGCGGGCAGGAATGTCCATGTGCTGCAGAAAGAAATGACTGGGCGCTGCAGAACGGAATATATGGGCGCTGCGAAAAGGAATGTCTGGGCGCCGCGGAAAGGAATATCTGGGCGCTGCGGAAAGGAATGTCTGGTCGCACCGTCAGGGTCGCTGGGGAAGGAAGTATGATGGTGACGCAGACCTGAAATGGCATGGCAACGGGCAGGAATCGAGAGGGCGGCGCGGAGGGACTCTGAGTGGGGTGGGAGAAGATTATAGCTCAGAAGATTAGCTTAGATTATAGCTAAGGAATATTTGCGGCAGAAATGTGGGCTGAGGTCGTTGTGACGTGCAGTTTTAGCGAGGACGACGCGGAGTGAGATCACGCGGCACGAAGGCCTGCACATTCTTTATCTTATGCTGGCTCAGTATGCCGTCACTTCCTACCCATGCGTCAAACGTCTGGGATTTCCACAAACAAGTCCCTCCTATGGCGTGGAGATGTCGCTATTACTGTTCTAGAATGTGGGCTGTCGCCAAATATTATGTAAACTAACCCTACTACGACCGGGTCCCTTCCCGTTACAGAGTCATAAAAGAGCTGGCATTTTCAATGTGTTTTCTATGAAGGCGGTAGACTTAGGTACGGGCGAATTAGCTTCTAATGGCAGTTGTAGTGTGCAGAATTAGTCTCAAGTTGTTCCCCGCTGAAGTCAGGCTTCCTGTTTGTGGTACACGTGCGATAGTTTCAGGTGAGAGTGAGTGTCGCTGCTACAGTGGTTTGATTGTTGTGCGATTGCTCAAGGTGACGGAGAGTGTCGCCCATACAGTGTTTTCGCTTGACGAACTTGGGAAAAGCGGTAGGGTTAGGTGATTTAGTGGGACTGGCGTGCAACAGGGTAACACCCAACCAAAGTTAGGAAGGGTGAGGCAGTTTTGGGCTGTTTGGGACTCCGGTTTTAAGGGCCTTACTCAGCTTGCAGTGCCTGAGAATATTATGGTAATAATTTCTAGATATCTCAGCCATGAATGGCTTTAGGGTTGACTGTCAACGGGAGTTGGGAGTTGGCCCCGTCCTCGCTTGGGCGGAGCCAACTTCGTGGTCGGGTGCGCGGGTGGTGCAGCTAACAGCCTGCAGTGGGCGACACCGACTTTGGCGAGCAGGACGACGAACTTGGTCGACCTGCATGGGGCCACTGCGAAGCCGCCGACGACGAGAAGCCGTCGGCTGACCTTTTATGGAGTGGTCGACGAAGGGCTTCGTCGATCTGCAAGTAGCCGACTTCGTGGTCGGCCAAGTTGGATTGGCTTGTCGACTTGGGGATGAAGTCGGCGTGGTTGGCCGACTTCGAAGGTTAGCCGACTTGGAGGAAGTTGGCTACAGAGTAGCCGACTTCGACAAAGCCGGCCAGGACTGGTGGTCAACGAAAGGACTCGTCGACCTGGGAGGTGACACCGACTTCGTGAAGCTGGAGGGCAGTCGTCGACCACCCACGTCAACCACGTACAGCAGTTGGCAGGCACCTACCGCCCAAGTCGTCGCCGACTTGGATGACCGACCTGGGAAGCCGACTTGGTGCTAGGCATGATCATTAGGCCCGACCCGACCCGACCCGACCCGACTTGGGCGGGCCAGCCGGGTTCCGGGTCGGGTCGGGTCGGGTCGGCACTTCTAGGAATCCTGGCCCGACCCGGGTATCGGGTGCCGGGTCAGGCTTGACCCGCCCCCGGGTCGGGTCGGGTAGGGGCCGGGTCGGGTCGGGTCGGGCCAGAACCTCATATGTAGTGTGTAGGGGTTTCCTCACTACTGTCCAGTGTTGCAAAGATTGAATGTTTGTGTAATATATTATTATATGAACGTCCTCCCTTATGTAAATTAACTATTCAAAGTTGCGTAAACTGTTACACGTGTTTGGAAAAATCCTACGAAGGCCTAAAAGCTAACGGAGTCAACTAGTAGTTCGACGCACAGGAATAAGAACCAATCAAGTTTTGGTCCGATCACGTTATCTGATGAAGTTGAGGGCATGAGCATCAATTACGAACAAATATCACAACCCCCTCGATTCATCCTCCACTCCCAGGGTGGGATTGGCCGTTGAGGTGCCCTTGGGAGTGAGAGTCCCCGAAGGGTGGTGGTCCTGCCACGTCTTAATCAGCATGGAAGCACGCACTTGGCCAGCTGCCAGTCGGTGTCGCTGCCAAGTAATGATGTTCCTGCTCTGTGAGAATGCGCGCTCACTCGCTGCTGACGAAGCCGGTACCCCTAGATAATCTTTAGCCATCGCCCTCAAGCCCTTCAGTGTCTCCCTGCTGCGCCAATACTCCAATGCGCTTCCACCCCTCTGCCTCCCCTCTGCGAGGTACTGATCCACCTCATCCTGTGGATCCTCCCCCTCTTCGGCCTCCATGGCGTCCCACGCAGCGAACAACTGAGACTGGATGCTGACATTTGCCGATGCATCCACAGCCCCACCCCCTGCCGATGCATGCACCCCTGCACCCCTCGCACTAGTCACCTCCCCACCATCTCCCAGCGCCGTGGTGCTGGCTGCCTGGTACTCTGGAAGGCGCGCCCGTACCAGGGCCTTCACCCTATCAGGTCCTAGCTCCAGTGTTGCCCCTCTCGAATTCCCCTCTGCTGCCCTGGCTCGGTGCTTGAAGGGTGCGAGCTTCTGGCGCGGGTCCAAGAAAGTGGCTATCGCTGCCTCCTCGCTCACACCCCCCATGTGCCGCTCCAGCTTGCTCAGAGCAGCAGTGATCAGCGATGAGCGCAGAGGGGAGATGCCAGGAGTGAGCTGTGCCTTCTCCTTCAGATCAATCAGCGCGTTGTACTGCGGTACAACGGCTGAGAGGGTAGGGTACAGGGAACCCTCGGCGAAGAGGGTGACTTGCTCGAATGGGGTGAGGAAGTCTCGGAGCTTGGCGAGGTCGTCCCAGTGCGCATCCGTCAACCTGATGGCGTCCCATGCCTTCTTAGTCTCCTTGCTGATGGATGACTGGTATGGGTCACATGGGTTGTAAAGATGGAGGCACAGCATGGGATGGTGGCACATGCATGGGATGGTGGCACATGCATGGGATGGTGGCACATGCATGGGATGGTGGCACATGCATGGGATGGTGGGACTAGCATGGGATGGTGGCACATGCATGGGATGGTGGCACATGCATGGGATGGTGGCACATGCATGGGATGGTGGGACTAGCATGGGATGGTGGCACATGCATGGGATGGTGGCACATGCATGGGATGGTGGCACATGCATGGGATGGTGGGACTAGCATGGGATGGTGGCACATGCATGGGATGGTGGCACATGCATGGGATGGTGGCACATGCATGGGATGGTGGGACTAGCATGGGATGGTGGCACATGCATGGGATGGCGGGACTAGCATGGGATGGTGGCACATGCATGGGATGGTGGCACATGCATGGGATGGTGGCACATGCATGGGATGGTGGCACATGCATGGGATGGTGGCACATGCATGGGATGATGGGACATGCATGGGATGATGGCACATGCATGGGATGGTGGCACATGCATGGGATGATGGGACATGCATGGGATGATGGGACATGCATGGGATGGTGGCACATGCATGTGATGGTGGCACATGCATGGGATGATGGGACATGCATGGGATGGTGGCACATGCATGGGATGGTGGCACATGCATGGGATGATGGGACATGCATGGGATGGTGGCACATGCATGTGATGGTGGCACATGCATGGGATGATGGGACATGCATGGGATGGTGGCACATGCATGGGATGGTGGCACATGCATGGGATGGTGGGACTAGCATGGGATGGTGGCACATGCATGGGATGGTGGGACTAGCATGGGATGGTGGCACATGCATGGGATGGTGGCACATGCATGGGATGGTGGCACATGCATGGGATGGTGGGACTAGCATGGGATGGTGGCACATGCATGGGATGGTGGCACATGCATGGGATGGTGGCACATGCATGGGATGGTGGCACATGCATGGGATGATGGGACATGCGTGTGATGGTGGCACATGCATGGGATGATGGCACATGCATGGGATGGTGGCACATGCATGGGATGGTAGCACTATTCAAGCCATGCCCACGTACCCCCATTCGCCATAGTCACAAGCGAATGTGAATCCTACCATACGTACATCTGAATCGTCGAAAACCATGGCAATGGGCATGCGCAGCTCGAAGCCCCTGTTCACCATGTGGAGTGTAGAACCCCATCTCGTCAGGCAGTCCACGATCAAACGCAACGGACCCGATGGTCGCCGAGAACCCGGAGGACCCTGGGGCCGGGTCGCCGCGTATCCCTTCTGGAGCTCGAAGAAACGATCTGTGCGCAGTGTGGACCAGCCGATGTAGTTCGCCACGTCTCGCAGCCTCTTGAGTGGCTCGGCCACCTCGTCAACCTTCAGTGCAGCTTGCACTGCAAGGTTGACGACGTGCGCCATGCACCTGTTGGGGCAATGCATTGTGCAGAGTGGGTTTAATGTCAGTGTACCACATAAGCACTGCCATAACAAACATGGTGGACTACGCCAACAGTTTATAGCATACCCTTACGGAGACAGCCCCATAGTACCTGAAGTGCCTCCAGCGACTGAGCAGTGGTGGGTGTCTGGGCCGTGAGCCCGACCTGGCGTCAGGTACACCGGCCAGCAGACGCATCGCCCTGCTGTTGTTCTCGGTGTTGTCACACGTCACGGCGAACAACATCTTCTCCAAGCCCCACTCCCACAAAACCTCCTCCAGCTCATCGGCTATCAAGTCCCCCGTATGAGAGCCCTTAAGCTCCCTGAAGTCTATAACAGCCTGTTTCAGCTGGAAATCGCTGGTGACATAGTGGGCAGTCACCCCCATGAAGGCCACGTTGTTCTCACTGGTCCAGATGTCAAAGGTGAGGGACATCCTTCCCGCCAGGCCATCACCCACTAGTAGCTGCCGCATGTCCTCCCTAGCAGCCTCCCTGTATGCCTGAATGTCCCGTGCCAAGCGATGGCGTGAGCCGAGCAGTAGCGCAGCTCCCGGGTTCAGCATCTGGACAAATGCTTTGAACTGTAACGCAGGAGTCAAAGGATGTCGGTAAAAGGATTATGAAGATGCTTCGGGATTAGCCAACAGAATGCAGTGCGGCTGCCCTGCACTAATATGACCACCTCAATACGAAGATGAACATGACCAACGGCAAGAGAACGGCGTCACTCACCTCGCGACACTCAACAAGTCGAAACGGAAGGTCAGCTGCCGCAAATAGCTGCACCAATCCCTCGCGCAGCTGCTGGCCACGAACACGCGGCGTGACGAATGCGGCCATGCTCATCTGCCTACTCCCACCAGCCTCGGATCCGCCAGTCACTGCGCTGTTTGGTGTCTGTACAATCCTGTGTTGGCGTTAGGCCCTAATCTCTCATTTTGTACTTGTACTTTTATATCCTAGTTTAGTGTAGTTTGCACTTTGTGTTTGGTTGGGTGTACACCCACATCCCAACCAAACACAAATGTAATCTCCAAGCAATCTCCAACCCACCAATTGGAGATTGCCTTGGGATTACCCTTGATTCCCTAGGATTGCCTCCTGATTCCCTCCTCATCCCTACCTTGCTCATTCCGGATGTACTTAAAGAGCTTTGAGCTCACTACTATAGTATCGATTCTAAGCTCAAGTTCTGACATGGTATCAGAGCAGCTCAACCGCATACGCGGATCGTGATCCTCTCATCTCTGCGGATACTTGTCCCGCAAACCTCGGGGAAGCCATCGCCAATCTCGTCGCCGTTGATTCGCGACATTCATCGGCGGAATTTCTCCCGCCACATCTTCCCGTCACCATCGACGGAAACTTCTCTGGTAAGCGCATCGTCGGCGCTCTAACCTAACACTCGTTTTCATCAATTCGTCACTCTCGTCACTTCTTCTCCTCGTCGGGCCGCCGCCCGTCGCCCTGCAGCTTCTCGTCGGGCCGCCGCTCGTCGACCTGCAGCTTCTCTTCGGGCTGCCGCCCGTCGCCCTGCAGCTTCTCGTCGGGCTGCCGCCCGTCGCCCCGCAGCGTCATCTTCGGGCTGCCGCCCGTCGCCCCGCATCTGCACTCCTACCCCCATCCCCCCTCTTTCCCGCAGCTGAACAGGTGCAGCAACGCAGCCGAGCAGCAGCGTAGCCGCGAAGCCGAGCAGCCGTGTAGCCGCGAAGCCGAGCAGCAGCGTAGCCGCGAAGCTGAGGGTGGTGTGTGGGGGGGTGTGTGGGAATAGGATTAGTAGGTAGTTGACACTAAATTGGCGTCTCAGTCAAATTCTCCTTCAGAAACCCTAAACCTCAATATTCTCTTTCGTAAACCCTAAACCTCCGGTTCTTCAAAATCTCCTTTGGAAACCCCAAACCTCAAGTTCCTATCGGTGACTTAAGAGCGGCGCTCCGCGCGAGAAGTTAAGGGGTCTCCACCATGGCTTTCTCGTCTTCCACCATGGCGAACCCCATCACCCCGCTCCGCCTTGAAGCCGATGGCTCTAGCTCCAACTTCAAGGCGTGGAGCTACGGAGTTGACAAGCACCTCCTGAGCCGTGACGTGCAGGGCCTTGACCTCAAGGACGTCCTCCTCAACCGTGGCAAGGGGAAACAGCCCACTCTTCCCCGTGAACCGACCGAGTCTTCAAGTGATGCTGACGTGATGACGTACGAAGAAGCTGTTGAGAAGTACCGGAAGTGGGAGAAGGCCGATGCTGCCATCATCAGCGTCTTCATTGCCTCCACCCCTCCCGAACTTGTCAACACGTTCCACAACTACCCTACCTCCAACGCCATCTGGAAGTATCTCCAGGATCGGTTCATGAACAAGACGGCGGTCGGAGTGGCGATTCTCATCCCCAGCATGTTTCAAGTCCGTCTTGAGGACTGCTCAGGAATGGCTGACTACATCGCCAAGGTGCAGACCATTCATGGTGAACTCAAGGAGCTGGGTATAGTCTTCCCCGAACAAGCCCCTGCAGCCGCCCTTCTTGTTGGTCTCTCCTCGGCATATGAAGTCACGAGGAAGATGCTCCTCACGCTCTCAGCGGAAGACCTCACCTTTGCTAAGGTCTCCACCGCACTCCTCTCTGCCGAGAAAGACTCCACGGCTCAGGCCAAGGCATACGCCATCCGTGCTCCCATGCCCCTAGCAAGTGTTGCAGCGGCCCTTGCCTCGGCGCCTTTCCAGCGCAACCGCTTTCCTCCGTGCACCTACGTCGTCAAGTATGGCAACCGCAAGGGACAAGTGTGTGGTGGCACTAACCACCCCCTTGCCACGTGCTTCAAGAAGAAAGACGACGAGTGGTATGCCATCCACGGGGTTGACAAGAAGCCGCCAAACTGGATGCGCGCTCGTAAGGCCAATCTCGTTGAGGTCCAGGACCCCTCTTCGGCTAGTGCTAGTGATAGTGCTCCTGTTGATGTGCGTATCAACCTGTTGTTTCCTCGCACTGCCATGATTAATGAAGCCACTTCCCAGTACATCGACTCATCACAGGCACCACAGTACATAGAGTTCACACTCGACAGCGGGGCCACTCACACTGTGCTCAAGGAGACACTCTCCTTCAAACCCTATCCAGCACCTATCCCTCTCTTGGGAGCTGACTCCAGCTTCACCACCCTAGCCAAGGGCACCTCCACAGTTCCATGCCCAGCCTTCCCTTCCGGCACCGTCACTGGCATGTGCGTGCCTTCACTACGCCACAATCTAGTGGCTCAAACAGAAATTCAGAAAGCAGGGCTACGCACCATCTTCTCGGAGAATGAGGACCACTGCGACATCATTGACCCACTCACCAACAAGGTCTTGGCCCGCTTCACCCTCAATAGCAGCGGCCTCTACACGCTACGCGTTCCTCTCCCACAGGTTTCAACCACCCAAGCACAGGCTCCCATCACACCATGCACATGTCGCAGCCTCTCCAACCCGACCATCCTCTATCATCATCGGTTAGGGCACCCAAACTTCCGCACGCTTGCTGACATGGCCTCCAAGAAACTTCTTCTCGGCCTGCCAGCCACACTTCCTCCACCACCTGACTCACCCGCTCCCACGTGCCTTGATTGCACCAAGAGCAAACTGCGCCAACAGCCCCACACTGCCTCACCCACAATCGCAGCGGCACCACTGGACCTAGTGCACATGGACGTCTGGGGCCCTGCCCCTGTTCTTGCACGAGGTGGATATCGCTACTTCCTAGTTATCGTGGATGACCACTCACGATACGTCTCTGTTCACCTCCTCCACACTAAGGCTGAGGCTCCAGAGGTCATCATGGCGTGGGTCAAGCAGGCACAGACCACCTTTGACCGCAAGGTCAAGCGCCTTCACTCGGATGGGGGGGGTGAATTTTGCAACGACAAGCTCAAAGCCTTCTGCTCCTCCGAAGGCATCCAGCAAAACTTCACCCTCCCTGACAACCCTCAACAGAACGGCATAGCTGAGAGCCGCAACCACACCCTAGTGCAGATCACTCGGTGCCTCCTCAGCCACTCCAACGCTCCACACTCTCTCTGGGGATACGCTCTCTACCACGCCGCCCTCCTCTACAACCTTTACCCCCATCCGCACCTTCCCGACACCACTCCAACCACACTCTGGCTCGGGAAAACGCCCACTGCTCGCTCTCTTCGCGTTTGGGGATGCACCGCCTATGTCCTCCTCAACCCTCAGGCTCGACGCCAGAACGGTGGCAAGCTCGGTCCCAAGACTCAAACGTGCATCTACCTTGGGCACAACGCCGACTCACCTGACTACCTCTTCCTCAATCCCTCCACTCAACAGTTGGTCAGGAGCCGCGACGTTGTCTTTGATGAGACCCGCCCATTCTACTCCCCTTCAGGACGGGACCCTCTCCCTGATCCACCCTCCCTCGTGTGGGCAGACTTTGACGCGCCTCCCGACCTCCCGCCTGCTCCTGCCCCCTCACCTCCTCTCTCTCCTGCCATCCCACCATCTCCCTCTGAGGTCTCTGACCCGGCCTCACCGGTGTCTTCGGCAGCTGCTCCGCCCCCCCCCCTCACCTTCCTCACTTCCCGCTGCACCGCCCCCTCCGAGCGCACCTATCACCTACCATCGGCGGTCCCACCCTCCGGCCCCACCTCCTCCCCCAGTTCCCACCACCACAGAGGAACCCGCTCTCCCACAGTCGCCCGAGCTGATCACGTACCGCCGGCGGCCCATTCCCCCACCCAAGCCTCCTAAGTCACCATCTCCGACACCGCCTGCCCCACCCTCCTCACCGGTGGCTCATGGCACCCGCTCCCATCGCGCTGCTCTTCCACTCGCAATGGTTCTTCGATACACAACGATCACACCGCCTCCTCCTGCTAGGGGGGATGTGCCCTCTACCCTTCTAGAAGACAGGCATGAGGAGCTGTGTGATCTCCATGCAGTCATTCCTCAGCTCTCACACATCTTCCCCGATATCACTGGCTCACCCTCCCTCAACCTCGCAGAGAACCCGACCATCCCTATCCCTCTCACCATCCAAGAGGCTCTCTCAGGCCCTCATGCTGCCGAATGGCGTGCTGCCATGGACGCGGAGATTGCAGCATTCACTCGCAACCACTCCTTCGACGACGAGACTCCACCTCCAGGAGTCAACATCGTCGGGGGCAAGTGGTTGTTCCGTGTAAAACAGCTCCCAGACGAGGCACCGGTGTTCAAAGCGCGTTACGTAGCCAAGGGCTTCACCCAGCAGCGGTACCGCGACTTCGACCTAATCTTCTCCCCCACATCCAAACCTCCCACCATTCGAACGCTCATGGATGTTGCAGCTCGAGAAGACTTTGAGATCAAATCCATGGATGCCTCCTCCGCCTTCCTACAAGGACGTCTCAAGGAGACAGTGTTCATGGACAGACCAGAAGGCTTCCCAGGAGAATTCCCTCCCAACACTGTCTGGAAGCTGAATCGCCCCGTCTACGGCCTTAAACAAGCCCCTCGCGAATGGCACAACAAGGTGAAAGAAGTCCTCCTCTCCCTGGACTTCCACCCCTCAACTGCTGACCCGACTCTCTTCATCCGTCGTCATTCTGAGCCATTCTACATCCTAGTCTACGTGGATGATTTTATCCTTGTTGCCAAGGACTCGGCCCAAATGACCTCAGTCCAGGCAGCCCTGAGCAAGGCCCTCCAGATGAAAGACCTCGGTGACCTCAAGCACTACCTGGGAATGGAGATCACTCGTGATCGCAAGGCTCGCACCATCTCACTCTCCCAGGAGTTCTACATCGACAATGTGCTCAAGCGGTTTGAGATGGAGCTGTGCACACCTGTTGCCACCCCGCTGCCGCTGCAACACCTCCTTACAGCTCCTGCTGTACCCACACCAGAGGCCTGCTCTGAGCCATACCCGGAACTTGTTGGGTCCCTCATGTACGCCATGATGTGCACCCGACCGGACTTGGCCTACCCAGTCAGTGTTCTCTCTCGTTACGTGGCCCCGGGTCGCTTCACTAATCTTCATTGGAAGGCAGCAAAGCGGGTGCTGCGCTATCTTAAGGGCACAAAGTCCCACGTTCTCACACTCGGTGGGCTCTCCCCTCCTCGCCTGGAAGGTTACACAGACTCCTCCTAGGCTGATGACCAGACCGACCGACGCTCCTCTCAGGGGTACTGCTTCACCCTCGGGAGCGGAACTGTCAGTTGGCGCTCCACCAGGTCGTCTGCAGTCTCCCTCTCCTCCTGTGAGGCGGAGCTCTACGCAGGCACCATGGCTGCTCAGGAGGCCCGTTGGCTCACCTTCCTACTCCAGGAGCTTGGCTTCCCTCAGTCAGCCCCCACCCTCTGGTGTGACAACCAGAGTACCATCCACATCTCTCAAGACCCTGTGTATCACACCCGCACCAAGCATATTGAACTTCGGCACTTCTTCATTCGTCACCTTGTGCAACAAGAGCAGCTGAAGGTGGAATACGTGGCATCTGACTGCAACCTGGCTGACCTGTTCACCAAGCCCCTTGGGAAGGTTCCCCACCATCGTCTCCTTGGCGCCATGGGGCTCTGCGCTCCTCCTTCTCCGCCATGAGTTCTATTGACGCCTTGGGAATGGGGGGGTGTTGGCGTTAGGCCCCAATCTCACATTTTGTACTTGTACTTTTATATCCTAGTTTAGTGTAGTTTGCACTTTGTGTTTGGTTGGGTGTACACCCACATCCCAACCAAACACAAATGTAATCTCCAAGCAATCTCCAACCCACCAATTGGAGATTGCCTTGGGATTACCCTTGATTCCCTAGGATTGCCTCCTGATTCCCTCCTCATCCCTACCTTGCTCATTCCGGATGTACTTAAAGAGCTTTGAGCTCACTACTATAGTATCGATTCTAAGCTCAAGTTCTGACATCCTGGGCCACGTGGCTGCATGCTCCCAAGGCCACGCTGTCTGGTCGGGGACATCCGGACCCCATCCCCCATCGGGAAACGTCAGGTTGTCTGGCTTGTTTGGATCCTTGAAACGCCGACACCAGATCTGCAGACTGGGGTAGTGGCTCCTCTTGAGGTGTCTCTTCCCCGTGCTCGTGCAACTACCTTTCCAGCTAATCTTCTTCTTGCAAATCTTGCAATTCCTAGCCTCTTTCACATCCTTCTCACTGAACATGCCACGAACCAGCCCGGGTTCTGCATTCCTAAGCACCTCCTCAGTCCATGGGTCCAGCTCCTCGTCGGTAGGGGTCCTGCCCGCCCTGTCGGACCTCTGGCTTGCTCCAGCCCCCACAGACCCACCCAAAGGTGCACCACCTGCCGCAGCGGCGGAGGTACCTGCCCCTGCTGCGCCCGACCCCTCAGAACCACCCGCGGCTGCCCCCTGCGGCTGCGAATTCGACGCCGGCCCGGCCCCTCCAGCTCCCGACCCCACAGGCCCACTCGTGCGTGGCCTCTTTGCTGCTGCACCGCTGCCACGCGCGCCACTGCCACCAGCCTGGCCCCCTCCTCTCCCTCCCCAACCCTCATCACCCGATTCTCCACTCGTGCCGGCCGCCTCCCCCGGAGCCGGCCTCCAATCCGGGTCCTTCTCCTTTCCTCGTGTTCCTTGCTCCTCCGTCACTGGGCCAGGTCCTTGAGACTCCCATTCCCGCACCTCTTCACGCCTCCTCGTCGCGATTGCATCGTCCCACCCAATTTCCTGCCCATTGAAGACGCTCCCCAAGCGAAAACTGGCCCTGGAGGCCGGTGTCGGGAGGCCTCCAAGCGAAGCCCCAGGAATAGCACGTGAGCTGTCTTCTTCCCCCTCCATTCGCGTGCAAGCGGCGTCGATTACGTTTCGGACCTTGGAGTCGCGACGTTTTTGTAATGGCGCAGGCCTAGACAATTGGGGGTCGCGTCCCTAAAGATGCGGGCGTGGTAGGCGCGCAGTGGGCGATTTGAACGCGGGGCCAGAGTTTAGTCGTGTGTGAGAGCTAGGAATAACTAAGTCTATAAAATCGAAAATCTGTGGTTGGTGGCGCTAGGCTAAAGAAGTCCATTCCGCCAACATTGAAACACTTGAAATAGGGTTCCTAAACATGGGCGCTGGATTAGAGAGTTCTAGAGCTTGAGAACGAGCTATTGCTAGCTGCCTAGGTATAGCAGATCGAAGTCAATGTCGAGGGAACAAAAAAACCCTAGACATTGACTTCGCGATCTGCTTTAGTTCGAATTGTCGTGGGAGGGGCCCGACCCGACTTAGGGCGCGGTACCCGATTTCGAGTCGGGTCAAATTTCGGGTCAAAAACTGACCCGACCCGACCCGGTTTCGGGTGTCGGGTCGGCCCGACCCGGCCGGGTAAACCCGACCCGACCCGCCCGGGTCAACGCTTCAAAATGCCTGACCCGACCCGGGTCAAAACCCGGGTCGGGTCGGGTCGGCCCGACCCGCCGGGGCAGGATGATCATGCCTACCCGGGTCGGGTCGGGTCGGCCCGACCCGCCGGGGCAGGATGATCATGCCTACTTGGTGCAGTCGGCGAATAGCCAGCCTGGTCGACCTGGAGCTGGTCGACTTGGGGTGTGGCCGACTTGGTGAAGTCGGCTGGTGGTCGTCGATTTGGGTGGTCGGCGAGCACGAACAACTGTTGGTCGACTTTTACCGAAAAAGTCGACACCGACTTAGTGGTTTCCAGGTCGAAAAAGTAACAAGGGCGACGAGGTTTAGCGCAGTGCGCGATAGTCGCCCGGGTAGTTTTGGCGAAGCCGACCTCGGAGGTGGTATCCCGATGTCGACGTGGCTGATCAGGCGCAGTCAATGGCACGTGGTCGACTTGGCGTCTGTGTTGTGCACGTGACGATGCACAGCATGCCAATCAACAGTGAGCACCTGCGAAGTTGGTGCGCTGCTGTCATGCGGGTCCAACGCTGTGCAGTCACCTTGCTGCAACTTTGGCATGCCGTCGACTTGCAACGTTGGCACGCCGCCTTTCTACAGCGCTGGAGCGGTGCGGACTTTGCAGCGCTAGAACACGGTCGACCATGCTGCGCTGGAGGTTGACTTGCTTGCATGCTAGGCAGACATGCATCTGATGTAGTCCACTTTCTCAATATTGTTGCCACCATTGTTCACAACTTTTGGTAGTGAAACTCTTGCCAATTCCTCCCGTGAATGTGTGCGTAGAGAGAACACGAGAAAACACTGAGAAAAGTTGAGATCACTCTCACAACCGTGCCTTTTCTGTGGTCTAGCTCCCGTTGAAGAGTCTATCCCCGCATTGACAACATTGAAAGAACCTTATTGCTAGTTGCACTGCATAATCAGCTCTGTTTCATCAATGTTGCTTGTCTGTGCTTTCTGTTCCTCTGGCCATGCCACAAATCTCATCTCATCACTTCCACCGACCTTCCTACCCACACACACAGGAGTCTCTCGAACAATGCTTTGACGGGCTCCTTTGCCTATAGCATCTTCTCGCTTTCTAGTCTCTCCACTTTGTACGAAGTTCCTTGTCTATTGTCTGTGCCTCAATCTAAAGCAACTTGTCTAGGCCTCGTGCTAAGCATGAGAGGAGTGGTAAGGACATTGAGAGGGGTGCATAGGGACTTCAACTTGCGCTCAAAGGGATTGTTGTCTTGCCGGCCACAACACCCCATGCCACGGTTTTTTTCTTTGACTGAAAGGACCATTCATTGCTTCTGTTCATTTTCAGGGTAAAAAATAAACTCCACTGTAATGATTGGCCATTATCTGGAATGCATGGCCCTCCCTCTCCATTGTCCTCCTCCTTCCGGGCTGTATTTTTTCATCGTCTGTCAGGCATTTAGATGGGAATCACTTTGGTGGAACCATTTCGCCCTCTCTAGGGGCCTTACTCATCTTGTAGTGCCTGAAAGTATCTTGGTAACAATCTTTGGGTATCCCAGTCAGGAGTGGCTTTGGGGTTGACAACATTGAAAAAACCGTGTGGCATTGCACTACCTAATTAGCTCTGTTTCATCGATATCGTGTACGTGTGTTTGCTGTCTCTCTGCCAATGCGAACAAGTCTCATCTTTTCCCTTCTACTGACGTACCTAACCATACACACAGGGATCTCTCACACAACGCATTAACAGGCTCCGTTCCCGGCGACTTCTTCAAGCTTGTTAATCTCACTTTTTTGTATGAAGCATCTTTTTCTTGTCAATGCCTCAATACGAAGCAGCTTCTTTAGGCCTCATGCTACGCATGAGAGGAGTGATAAGGACCTTGAGAGAACTGCTTAGGGACTTCAACTTGCATTCAAATGAATGGTTATGTTGCATGCCAGAACGCTTGATGTTAGAGTTGTTTTTGTAACTTCTGTTCATTTTCAGGGTTGAAATTATCTCCATTGCAATGATTGACCATCATTTTGAGTCCATGACCCTCCTTCCCTCTTCATTTTCCAACGACTTCATTTTGAGCTATTGTTTTTTATCGTCTGTCAGGCATGTACATGCGAATGCGAATCACTTCAAAAGAACCATTTCGCCCTCTCTAGGGGCCTCTTTGTGTCAATCTTTGGATATTCCAGCCATGAGTGGATTTGGGATTGACAATATTGAAAGATGCATATGGCTAGTTGCACTATCTAATCAGCTCTGTATGATCAATATCTCTTGTGTTTGCTTGCTGTCCCTCTGGCCGTGCCGACAAGTCTCATCTCTTCATTTCTACCGACCTACCTACCCACACACACAGAAGTCTGACAAACAACGCTTTGAAGGGCTCCATTCCCTACGACATCTCCTCACTGACTAACCTCTGCTATTTGTACAAAGCACCTTGTTTATTGTCTATGCCTCAATACGAAGCAATTTATTTAAGCCTCGTGATAAACATGAGAGGAGTAGTAAGGACCTTAAAGGGGCTGCATAGGGACTTCAACTTGCGTTCAAAGGGATGGTAGTGTTGTCATCCACAACACCCCATGCCACAGTTGTTTCTATAACAAAAAATATATCTCTTTGCTGTTGTTGATTCCCAGGGTCAAATTTACCTCCATTGCAATGATTGGCTAGCATTTTGGAATGCATGACCCCCCTCCCTCTTTATTCTCCTTCCCCTTCATCGTGGGCTGTGGGTTTTCATCGTCTGTTGGGCGTGTAGATGGGAATGACATGAATGGGCCCATTCCTTTCGCTTTGGGACCCTCACTCAGCTTGCATTGCAGTGCCTGAAAGTATCTTAGTAACAAAGTCTGGGTATCCAAGCCATAATTTACTTAGTGTTAACATCATTGAAAGAACTGTATGACTAGTTGCACTATCTAATCAGCTCTGTTTCATCAATCCCACTTGTGCATGCTTGCCGTCCTTCTGGCCATGCCCAAATGTTCATCCCTTCACTTCTACCGACCTGCCTACTTCGACACACAGGGATCTCTCGCACAATGGTTTGACAGGCTCCATTCCCAACAGCATCTCCTCGCTTACTGCTCTTAATAAATTGTATGAATCACCATGTCCATTATCAATTTTAAGTACGAAGCAACAACCTTAGACCTCATGCTAAGCATGAGACGAGTGGTAAGGACCTTGACAGGCTGCATAGGGAATTCAACTTGCGTTCAAAGGAATGGATGTTTCTCGGCCACAACACCCCATGCCACAGATTCTGTAACCAAATGGACCATTGACTGCTATTCATTTCCAGGGTTGCATTAAACTCCATCTCAATAATTGACCAGCATTTTGGAACGCATCGAACTCCCGCCCTCTTCATTCTCCTTCTCCTTCATCTCGGGCTGTGGTTATTCATCATCCGTCAGGCATCTACATGTTTTTTTTTTTTTTTAGTGGATCCATTCCGCCGTCTCTAGGGGCGTTATTCCGCTTTATGGTAACATTTAGGCATGAGCAGGAGGCCCGCCCATGCGGGTCGGGCCGGCCTGACCTGACCCGTGATTTGGGTGGCGTGGATCGGGTCAGAGGTTTCAATAGCCTGTCCCGGGAAGGTCGGCCCGACCTGGTCCGGCCTAAAACCCGACCCGAGCAGGGAACTCGGGCCGGGCTTTTGTCCCGTGTTGACCCGACCCGTATTCGGGTCAGAAACTGGAAAATCGGGTTGGGTCAGGCCCGACCCGATTACGAAACGTGAGGGACGCGCGGAAACCCGAAACGACCAAGTCGATGTTGAGGGAACGTTTTTTCTCTCGACAACATTCACCGAACCTAATTTCTAACCTTCAGCCCAGAATTCCCATTTTCTAAACGCCGACCAGCGCAGAGCGTGGGCAGAAGCAGATTTTCTGTCCCAACCCGACCTCGAGTCGGCCCGACCCGAAGTCGGGCCAGGCCTGACCCAGCCCTGTACCACCGGGTCGGGTCAGGGTATTCAACATCCTGGCCGAGGCTGGCCCGACCCGACCCGGCCTGGAAACCCGCTTGCCCCGGCCAAGTCAGGTCGCGCCGGGCCAAATGCTCATGCCTAGTAACACTCTTCGGATAACCCAACCATGAGTGGCTTTGAAGTCGTTAACATTAAAAGAACCGTATGGCTAGTTGCACTACCTTATCGGCTTTGCTTCATCAATATCGCGTATGTGTGTTTCCTGTCCCTCTAGCCATGCCCACATGTCTCATCCCTTCACTTTCTTCCAACCTACCTACCCACACACACAGGGATCTCTCGAACAACAGTTTGACGGGCTCCATTCCCAACAGCATTACCTCGCTTACTGCTCTCAATTATTTGTACGAAGCACATTGTCTATTGTCTATGCCTCAATACAAAGCACCTTGTTTAGACCTCGTGCTAAGCATGAGAGGAGTGGTAAGGACCTTGAAGGGGCTGCATAGAGACTTTAACTTGCGTTCAAATATATGGCTGCGTTGCTGGCCACAACACCCCATGCCACGGTTCTTTCTGTAACCAAAAGGACCATTGATGACCTCTGTTCGTTTCCAGTGTTGAAATAAAAACTATTGCAATGATTGGCAAACATTCTGGAACGCATGAACCTCCTTCTTCTTCAGTATCTATCTCCTTCAGCTTAGGCTGTTGTTTTTCATCATCGGTCGGGGCATGTAGATGGGAATCACCTGAATGGAACCATTTCGCCCTCTCTAGAAGCCTTACTGAGGTTTTAGTGCCTGAAAGTATCATGAATATAATCTTTGGAAATCCCAGCCATAAGTGTCTGTGGGGTTGATAACATTGAATTGACCATATAGCTAGTTGCACTACCTAATCAGCTCTGTCTCACCAATATCGCCTGTGTGTGCTTGCTGTTCCGCTGGCCATGCCTACAATTTTCATCTCTTCGTTTGTACCGACCTACCTACCCACACACACAGGCATCTCTCGAACAACGCATTGGTGGGCTCTGTTCCGGACAGCTTCTTGCTGCTTGCTGATCTCAGTTTTTTGTACGATGCACCTTGATTTTGTCAATGCCTCAATACGAAGCAACTTTTCCAGGCCTCGTGCTAAGCATGAGAGGAGTGGTAAGGACCTTTTAGTGGCTGCTTAGGGGCTTCACGTTGCACTCAAAGGAGTGATGGCGTTGCATGGTACAGTTGTTTCTGTAATCAAGAGGACCATTCATTGCTTGTATCCATTTTAAGGGTTGAAATAAACTCCATGGCAATGGCTGGCCAGCATTTTGAAGGCATGACCCTCCCTCCCTTATTTTTCTTCTCCTCCTTTATCCCGAGCTGTTGTTCTTCATCTTGGTCAGGGATGTAAATGAAAATCACCTGAATGGAACTCTTTCTCCCTTTCTAAGCTTACTCAAATTGAAAAGCTTGTAAGTATCAAGGCAACAGCCGTTGGATATTTCAACCGTGATTACCTACATCAGCGGTTTTGTTTCATTGATATCACTTTTGTATGCTTATCTTAATAGAAATGAGAACATTTCTGAATTGATAAATCTCTTAGTTTGGTGAAGTTGGCTGGCCAATTGTTTTTTGAAATGCGCACTCTTGTAGGAGAAATGTCAGTAAACTTGCATGGTTCAGATGGTATGGCGATGTTTGTGACATGTCCGTCTGTAGGTAGCAAGATGACATGCATCCGTCCCCACTTGCGGCCTTCCTTGTGTGTGTCCACTTGTATGCTCCTTCTAGGGATGAGCAAGGGGCGAACACGAACATGTTTGTGTTCGCCCCTACACTACACGAACACATCCGTTTGCCGAACCGAACACTTTAAGCAAAAACAGGTGTTCGCCGTTCGCCTGTGAACGCGTGTTCGGGCGAACCTCGAACACGTTCGTGTTCGTCGCAGGGCAAATTGCAGTAGCGGCCCGAACACGAACGTGTTCGGGCGAACCTTGAACACATTTTTGCGAACACTTCAAGCAAAAAAAACAAACCTGTTCGGTTCGCCTTGAAAGTGTGTTCGTTTTTTGGCTCATCCCTAGCTCCTCTCCTTTTCCTTCCTCCACTCCTGAATACTGCCAATCAGTGATTGCTTATGATTGGCAATCACCTATTTGTTGCTTTTCTCCCTCGTGTCCCACTTAACCCCACCACTGTTACCATTTTTATGCTGAGTTCGTTAGGTCAAGTTTCTGCATTTTGATCTCCCCCTTTTTCCTATTGCAGCAACGTCACTGGCACAAACCTCACGTGCCCACCTGACAACACCGACTGTGGCACAACACAAAATCCGAGAACAGCCTTTTGCCAGACGTGTAGATCCTTTTGCACGACCTGCCTCAAATCTGCAGGCAAGTGGTTAAAGCAAAGTCCTCCCAGAGTAGTGTGATATTAATGATGGTAAGGTTTCAAAAAGTATGTCAGGCAATACACAAGGCAAAGCTGTCTTCCTGGAGAACCAAAAGGTTGCGTGGAACCATGGTAGGGGCTCTGGTATTGCACTGATGCTTTTTGCTCTCGGTTTGAACAATGCCCCATATTACTGTCTTCAAGTTTTTTCGTGGTAAGAAGCTTGCTGTAATCTCCACATAGTTGTTTGCTTTTTCAGGCCCAATCACAACGAACAGTAGTAGCACAAGCACCAATGGCAGCAGCAGCAGCAGCAGCAGCAACAGCAGCAGCAGCAGCAGCAGCAGCAGCAGCAGCAGCAGCAGCAGCAGCAGCAGCAGCAGCAGCAGCAGCAGCAGCAGCAGCAGCAGCAGCAGTAGCAACAGCAGCAGCAGCAATGGCAGCGAGTCTACTTCACCAGCAGCATCTGGGGTTGTAGGTGGGCTGTCAATGGGAGCCATCATTGGCATTGCTGTTGCTGCTGTGGTCATTCTCCTACTTCTGGGAACCACACTGCTTTACATGAGGCAGAAACAGCAGCAGACGCCAAAAGGTACGAAGATAAAGAAACAAAAAGGGGTAAGCTCTGGATGAACGGTCTCTATTAGTGCAGCTATATGTGGCTGTAGCTTACAGTTTGGGTGATAAGTTAGCGAGTTGCTCAATGCATGAACCTAGCAAGCGTGCAAGTTTGCAAATTTAATTACGACTCAAATTGGCTGTCGGTCCAGTCGGATCTCCTTTTCGTTGTTGTTGTTGTTGTTGTTGTTGTTGTTGTTGTTGTTGTTGTTGTTGTTGTTGTTGTTGTTGTTGTTGTTGTTGTTGTTGTTGTTGTTGTTGTTGTTGTTGTTGTTGTTGTTGTTGTTGTTGTTGTTGTTGTTGTTGTTGTTGTTGTTCCTGTTGTTGCTGCTCCATTTTTTTTTCAACTTCGCTCAATCAAAATCAAGCTGGGAAGGACTGCTCGAGTCGCTTCTCTTGACCTGAGCTAGGCTGACTTGCCACGAGTGACATGCAGTCAGTTCATTCTTATCCTCCAGGCCTTTCGGCCTCCTAAGCTGCCGTCTCTATCATACTCAATGTAATCTGAGGTTATTCACTATTCAAGCCTGGAACGTTTTGGGAATCACTTCTGAGAATTCTCATAAGTGACTCCCAAACTTCTATATCTATATTATTGGACGTATTCTTGGGTTATTCACTTGTCAAGTTTAGAGCATCAGCATGGCAGGGTGTTCAAACAGTAGCCATGTAATGGGCATGTATGCCCTAAGTACATGTCAGGTCTTCCATGACCCAAAATGGACTGACATGCCTTGCTTACACCCAAACCTACTGAAGCATTTCGACAAGTATTTTGGACAAGTCAAATCAACCACAAGTCCAACTCGATTGGAATCGGCAAGGGAGTCGGTTGGAAGCCGGCTCAGCTGTACTCGACTTGCATGCACCTCCTTTCCTTTCACCCCATGAGTGGCACCATGAGCAGGCGCGGGTGGCAGCCTGGCAGCCTCCCATTGCACCGAGTTTTCGCTGGCAGAGGTCCTCAAGGCCACCAATAACTGGTCGAAGGACCACCATCTGGGCTCCGGTTCCTTTGGCGATGTGTACAAGGGCGTGTCTCCCCGTGATGGCACCACAGTGTGGGCTGTAAAGCGCGCCAGGCTCATGGTCGTTGGCTTCCAGAAGGAGGTCAGTGAGCCATGGTAATGCACACAAGTGGCATTTGTCGCTGCCATGGTATCTTTTGCCATTCCAATTATACCTTGTTCCGTGTTTGACGATTCCCTTCTTTTTAATTCAGAGTTTATCTCAGCAGATTTTGCAGGCATGCGTAAAAGAAACCAACTTTCCAGATTTTGGAGCCTGGGCTACTATTTTTGTGTGCTCTGCTTCTCGACCTGTTCCATTTCTCCCTGCTTTAAATGTTTCTCTCTGGCTGTGATGATCAGATTGAGCAGATGGCTGACAAGAACCACCCCAACATTGTGAGGCTTCTTGGCTTTGCGATTGGAGGGGATCTGAGATCTCGGCCAGAGCAAGTTCTGATCTATGAATACGTGCCCAACTGCGATCTTCAGAAATGGATTGATCCAAGTATGTGCGGCACTCCCCCAGTGCGTGTTCAGTTGTGCCACCTACATGCTCTGCCACCCACATGCTCTGCCACTTACATGCTCTGCCGCTCATACTGTGTATCCTTGCAGAGGCAGAACGTCCTCTGAATCTGAAGCAGCGGCTGGACATTCTCATCGGCATGGCACGGGGCTTTGAGTACCTCCATGGCTTTGGCATCGTGCATCGCGACATCAAGCCTGCCAACGTCCTCATCACCAACAGCATGCAGGCAAGAGTGGTTACATCACGCACTGCTTTGTTCTGTTCCCAAAGTTTCTTTGGCAGTCGGAATCAGAACCTTGCTCTAGTCTTTAAGTGGCTTCCCACTTCACTAGGGATCATCCTTGACAAGGACCTTGCTCTAGTCTTTAAGACCTGTACCATTTTCTTGCTAAGGAGATTTCTTCTTCCTATCGTGCCCTAAGTTCACCGATCCACTTTCTTCATGGTATCAGAGCTAGGCTTCTAGCTTTGTGAACGTCGAACACTTGATGGCTCAAGTTGAGACGCCTCTCGGTCGGCACACCCTTCCTATCTTGGAACCGGATGGTTCCAACTTCATTCCATGGAAGAAAAATATATGCTACATCTTTAATGTCCTTGGGCTGATCTCCTTTCTTGGAGATCCCAAGGTTGCTTCCCGCCCTTCCATTTCCTCCTCCACAACCAGAAGTGGAGATGCTACTGAAGGCAACAATGGTGCAGCCCCTAAAACAGCCCACTCGATTGCGTCGCTTCCGGATGAAGAAAAAGAGGAGCATGCGTACTATCTTCTCATGTCAGCCGTCCATCCTCAGCTCTCGCTCAAACTTGCTCAAGCCAACACGACGAAGGACATGTGGGGATGCATCATGGCGCGGTTTGACTGCATGGGTAACCATGCACAAGTGGCTCTCCTCCGAGATCTCATCACTACACGGATGGACCCAACAATGAGTCTTCGCTCCTACTTCGATCGAGTTGGAAATCTTACGCACCAACTCAAATCTGCCAGCTTCGAGTTACCATCTTGGGTGGTGGTAATCTCCATCATTCTCAATCTGCCGGACTCCTTCAAGACTCTCACAGAAACTATTTGCACCGTGAAAGACATCAAGTCTATGACGGTTGAATACCTGCAGTCACGTCTACTCGATGCCGATTGGGAGCGGTCACAATCTGGTACAAGCCGCAACATGGAAGGTGCATACAACCTCCATTCCCAACCCTCCCCACCTGGACTCCTCTCGTCGCTACTCTCTTCATCTTAACCATCCTCCTCCTCCTCCTCCTCCTCCTCCTCCTCCTCCTCCTCCTCCTCCTCCTCCTCCTCCTCCTCCTCCTCCTCCTCCTCCTCCTCTTCCCTTATGGTGCTCCCTACGCATCGGCATTCACGGCCTCCTCATCAAACCTGGTCCGGACGTCTTCCTGGCTGGTGGACAGCGGCGCATCTTCCCATATCTGCTCCGATCGCTCGCTGTTTTCATCTCTCCAGCAGCCAACTGATGATATTATCGTTCGCTTTGGTGGCGGAGAGACTTACAAGGTCTTGGGAGTCGGCACGGTGGTGGCTACTCTTCGTTCCCAAACCTCGGAAACCACCATCCAGCTAGACAATGTTCTGTTTCTCCCTTCATCGGTTCACAATCTGCTCTCAGTTCGTGCACTTGGAGCTGCCGGCATTGCCGTTTCCTTCCCCATTGCTGGGCGGGTTGAGCTCAAGACTGATGAGGCTCTTATTGGCGAGGGCTTTACCCGCAACAATCTGTTTTATCTTCAGCTGCATCATGGGAGTAGTGCCCGCCCCCCCCATCAACCCATCGGCATGTCCAGTCTCCACCACCTCCTCCTCATACCTTTGGCATCGCCGTTTCGGGCATCTTAACATGCGGGACTTGTCAACACTTCATCGGCAGCAGCTGGTCACCGGTCTTAACCTCTCCTCCTCCTCAATTCCTCAATGCATCTCGTGCTATCGTGGGAAACAAACGCGTCAACCATTTGGCGTGTCCCATTCTCGCACCACAGCACCGCTCCAACTCATTCATTCGGATATTGCTGGACCGTTTTCAGATGGAACTACCATTGGAGGCGCTCGCTACCTTCTCACCTTCATCGACGACTATTCCCGCCACATTACCATGTATCTCCTACGCCATCGTTCAGAGGCATTGTCGTGCTTCAAAGCTTACGTCACTCGGGTGCACAATATGCATTCCCCAAGGACCATCAAAGCGTTTCGCTCCGATGGTGCCTTGGAGTTCAATTCCGAGGCCTTCACTTCATTCCTTAAAGCTCATGGCATCGCTCGACACCACTCTACGCCGTACACACCCGAACAAAATGGAGTTGCTGAACGCGCCAATCGGACTATACTTGAGATGGTCCGTTCCATGCTTCATGACGCACACATGGACAGAGGATGGTGGGGTGAAGCCGCTCTCACTGCTGCCTATCTCCGAAATCATGCTATTAGTCGGGGTGGTTCAACTTCCAAGACTCCCATAGAACTATGGACCGGTGCACATCCGGACGTATCACACCTCCGCATCTTCAGTTCACCCGTTTCAGTCCTCGTTCCTCCGCAACGCCGCTCCAAACTCGACGACCGAAGCACGGCCGGTGTCATGGTTGGGTATGGTCATCTTGACGGCACCAAAGCTTATCGCATCTATATCCCAACTCAGCACCGTGTCACACTTTCTCGTGATGTCATCTTCATGGAGCCCTCTTCGCCACCTTCGGATGACCCTCGAGAACCTCCATCGTCATCTCCACTACCCATATCATCCTCTCCGCCTCCTCCTCCACCCCCTTCCCTCTCAGACCCAACCTCCCCTCCCTCTCGTTCACCTCCCATGACCTCTTCCACCACCCTCCTCCCACCATCTCCAAATCTGCCAGCACCAGCAACCTCTTCTCCTCCTTTGTTTTCAAACCTTCCTCTACCCTCGATGCCGCAAGACTTCCGCCTTCCATCCCTCTCCTCTCCTTCTTCAGCTCGTCCTCCCCCTTGCACCTCTAGTTCCTCACCACCATCCCCTTCAGCTCCTTCCAATCCTTCACTTTTCTCACTGCTCAAGGTCCTACCCTCTCCTTCTGAACCCATTGACTTCACCCTTCCTCCTCTTTCCAAGACCTCCGCTAATGCCGCCCTTCATCATCATTACGAACCTCAAAACATTCATGAGGCCCGCACCGGCCCTGATGCTGCTGCATGGATCAAGGCTGCTGATGCGGAACTCGCTGCCCTGCACGCTAATGACACTACAGCGTTGTTCCTCGACCACCCAAGCGCAAACCGATTCCATGCAAATGGATTTTTAAGGTCAAGGAGCATGCTGATGGTTCTATTGAACGCCGCAAGGCCCGCCTTGTTGTCAAAGGTTTCAAACAACGCGACGGTGTTGATTTCCATGACACCTTTGCTCCTACCGTTCGCTTCGCCACCCTCCGCCTCTTTTTCACCATTGCTGCCGCTTTCGACCTGGAAGTCCATCAGCTGGACATTTCCAACGCCTTCCTCAACGGCACTCTTGATGAAATTCTCTACATGATGCAGCCTCCCGGTTATGAGCTTCCGGCGGTCCATGGTGTTGAGCAAGTTTGTCTCTTGCACAAACCGTTGTACGGGTTGAAGCAAGCGCCGCGGTGCTGGTACCGCAAACTTCGTGAAGAGCTTGCTGCATTTCACCTTTTTGCTGCCCGTGCGGACCCCGGCCTCTTCATTGCTACTCCACAATCTCCTTATCGGCCTACAGCTGCATCTTTCTTCATGCTTCTTGTCTATGTTGACGACCTCATCATTCTTTCCACCTCCTCTTCTCTTCTCTCCTCATTCAAGCGTGCCCTTTCATCTCGCTTCAAGCTTCGTGACCTCGGTCCTCTTTCCTACTACCTTGGCTTTCACATCACTCGTGATCGGACCTCACGCACTCTCCACCTTCATCAATCCAAATTCATCACCTCCATCTTAGACACCTACTCATTCACACCACTTAACCCTGCTGCCACCCCCATGGACACCAAGTTTCAGCCGCCCGTGACTTCCTCACCACACTCCTCCTCCTTTCCTTACACCTCGTTTGTCGGATCCATCATGTATGCCATGGTGGGTTCCTGTCCCGACCTCGTTCTTGCTCGTCACCTTCATGATTGGTCTACTCCTCACGTCTCGGCTGCCAAACGCGTTGCTCGCTACTTGAAAGGGACTACCTCACTCGGGCTTCTCCCTGGCGGCATTCCCAACACCCTTGAACTTCATGGGTGGTGTGACGCCTCTTGGGGACCGGAGGGCGAGCTCCGACGCTCCGTTACGTGCTACTTGTTCTTCCTCGGTCCGTCACTCATCTCTTGGCAGTCCAAACGTCAAGCTCTCGTCGCTACCTCTTCATGTGAAGCTGAATACTATTCTCTGGGCGCCGCGGTGCATGAGGCCTTATGGCTTCGATCCCTCCTTACTGCACTTGGACTTCCCCCACCCGGCCCCACCCGCATCTCGTGTGACAACAGCAGCGCCATCATTCTGGCCAAGGACGACGGCGTCTTTCATCCCAAGGCCAAACACATCGACATCAAGCACCATTTCATTCGTGATCATGTCGCCGACCACTCCGTCACCCTTCACTATGTTCCTACTCAAGACAACCTCGCTGACATTGGCACCAAACCTTTGCCCCGTGACCCTTTTCTTCGCATCCGTGGTCTTCTCGGTCTCACCCATGTCTCCGCTTGAAGAACCCTACCCCGGGGACATCCTTGAGGGGGGGTGTTGTGCAGCAAATGTCCCAGAGGGTAGATTCTCACCTGTGGCCTTAGAGGTTGTGGGTTCAATTCTCAGTAGCTGCAGGTTTCCTTCTCATTATGCTCCACATTACATGTCCACACTCTACCACACTCCACCACAGTGAAGTGTGGTCACAGTTGGCATTGCCACCTGTCCACTCATCCCACACTCACCTTGCTGGCCTCTATGGTGTGCCATATGCTGTCATGTGGGCTGTTGTTCCAGCCTGGCCCACATGTGCAACATGTGGCCTCACTTGCTAGCTTGGCAAGGTTGGCTAGCCTAGCCCTCAGCATTGAGGTGCTGCAGCTAGCCTCAAGAGTTCAGCCACATATATGTGCCTTCCCACTTCACTAGGGATCATCCTTGACAAGGAACTTGCTCTAATCTTTAAGACTTGTACCATTTTCTTGCTAAGGAGATTTCTTCTTCCTATCGTGCCCTAAGTTCACCGATCCACTTTCTTCGGATGCCAAGCTGATTCGTGTATTTATTTTATTGATGTGTTGAAGCCTAGACCAGGCAGTGGTACATCACACCCGGTACGTTTGCCATTGTCATATCTATTGGTTTTTTCCTGAATCACTTGCTCCTTGCGACAACCATTCGTTAAGCCTTGCTAACACATATTTACTTTGCAATGAGAGTTCTTTCCGTGGCAAACATCCTGCCACCACATATGTGCATCCTTGATTCCCAGAAAAACTTCTTCAAGCGTTTGTACTTCTGGGGTCTCTTGCCAACATGTCTCTCAACGCACCCACCAGGCCAAGATTGCAGACTTTGGGCTGGTGAGGATGGGAGAGGGCACGACTGTCGGTACGACTCGCATCGTGGGCACACCGGGCTATGTGGATCCTGTCTACTCCCGAACGTCCAAGGCAACTGCAGCCAGCGATGTGTACAGGTGAAGTAGTGATGTGTACAGGTGAAGTAGTGATGTGTACAGGTGAAGTAGTGATGTGTACAGGTGAAGTAGTGATGTGTACAGGTGAAGTAGTGATGTGTACAGGTGAAGTAGTGATGTGTACAGGTGAAGTAGTGATGTGTACAGGTGAAGTAGTGATGTGTACAGGTGATCATTGCAGGAGCCGTTAGATGAGGCAGTGTTGTGTGAAGGTGATCATTTCAGGACGTGTCAAAGAGTGTGGGCACGACTTGCGTCATGGGTTACGTAGATCCTGTTTACTCCAGAATGTCCGATGCAACTGCAGCCAGCAATGTGTACAGGTGAGGCAAGAGGCATTACAGACAAGGCCACACAAGGAGACGCAGAAAGAATTCCTACAAGTTGATGGTGACTGACGAGACCAAACCTCATTGTTGTCTGGTCGTGTTCTTTGTGGGTGTGATGGGCGTGATGGGCGTGGTGGCATTATGGCTCAGTCGGCCATACAATGATCTGTCAACAGCTAAACTGCTAGCATTCTATGTCTTTAAACATGTGTGTTGTTTTCCAGCTTTGGAGTTCTCATGTTGGTGGTGCTCACCAGACAGGCCCCTCTCTCAGAGACTGCGGGAAAGAGCTGGCAGATCATCCCATGGGTAAGGATTTTGTGACTTCCAAAGGTACTTTCAGTAACTACCATGACCACCTTTCTGCAGTGTGTCATGATTTGACGCAGTGAAGCAACTCAGATCCCTTACCATACTATTTGATGGGTTGACTCATGAACTCTCTCTACCCAATTCGTGATCTCTCCCATCCCCCTCCGTTTGT